ACGGTGTCGCCGGCTCTTTGTGGCACAATGGGAACTAGAAGAGCAGCCGTTATGGGAAGAGTTGGAGAAAGTCCTGCGAAAGCGAGTGGAAGGGATGACTTGCCGTTTGTTCGGGTCATTTCGACGGCGTCGGAGTGATGAAGAAGGCATATTGTGCATAGTGATGATGCTGTTGGACAATCCATGGAGTGGTCTTGTGGAAGAGATCTTCGGCGATATAGCGGTGGGTGGGACACCGTTTAACGAGGCTGAACACGTTGTTTGGTGTTTACCTTGTTGTGAAGAATACCGGAGAGAAGTCTATGGCGGTTGGAAACTGGTTCTTCTTTCCTCAATGGGTAATTTGCATGGTCAAGACATTGAGTGGGGAGACTTGGTTGTCGACAACTTTGTGAAGACGGCAGAAGTGTGTGTTCCACGGGTTGTGTGTGCGCCACTTGGGTTTACTACAGAAGAGGAGGAGAAGAAGTATCTCGAGCACTGGAACCGCGAGGTAGTACCGGGAAAAGAAGTTGATACGGGAGTTGTGACTGGAGGTCTGGATTGGAGTATCTGGAGGAATCGTTCATAGAAGAAACGGTGGAGGTATGAAGGTGAGTAAACGAGGCTGGGAATAACCTCACTTGGAGTGATAGTAATGAAATGATATGGAATACTTCTCTTTCTCCCAATCATTCAGATTCTGGAAATGGGTATGGGGCGTAGCCCCGTACGAAGGAGCACAGCGACTGAGTCAAGCCCAAAGTCTTTAGGATAAAAGATAAATTGAAACTTGTTGAGATTGTCAATTAAAGTGTGAACGTGATGTGGTGATAGCTTCACTTTTAGAAAGGTGGAGAGGGAGCGTAGCGACCGATACTACCAATGAAATACAACCGCGAGACGGAGGATGACTATGTGTGGGCCTTGGACCGGTTGAGGTCGCTGTACGACCAATGCAACGCTAAGCCCCCGGCTGTTGTTCTGACAGACCGCTGCATAGCTTGTGTAAATGCGGTCCACAGTATCTTTCCCTCCTCTGCATCGTTGCTCTGTCTTTGGCATGCGAACAAGGCAGTTCTCCGCCAGTGCTTTTCCGCTTTTGTCCCAGCCAAACCAACGATGGTCGCTGGCACTGCAACACTCTGCAATTCATCGATGGAGAGGTGGAAGGAGTTTTATGCGTGCTGGCATTCAATCATGAGTTCACCAACGCAAGACACCTTCACGGAGCGCGTTGAGGCGTTTCAGAGAAGATATCTCGCAGACCATCTCGAAGAGGTCGGCTACATCACGTCCTACTGGCTTGGCCCATGGAAGGAGAGCTTAGTCAAGGCTTGGTTCGATCAGCACACCCATTTCGGCAACGTGGCTACCTCGCGAGTTGAGGGCATTCATGCCCTGCTGAAATCGCATCTGAAAAGATCCACGTTGGACCTTTTTGAACCCTGGCGAGCAATGAAGCACGCCTTATTGAACCAGCTTTCGGAATTGAGATCAAATCAAGCCAAACAGCAAGCACGAACGCCAATCGAGTTATCAGGGCCGCTGTACAGCGCAATACGTGGCTGGGTATCACATGAAGCCCTCCGCAAGGTTGAAGAGCAACGAAGATTGCTTCTGAAAAGTGATCCAGCACCGTCCCTGGTTTGCACTGGAGCTTTCTCTTGAGTCCATGGTTTTCCGTGTTTGCATAAGCTGAAGGCTTTGCAGGAACAGGATCGTGTTCTTCTGCTTGAGCACTTTCATCCACACTGGCATTTGAGGCGTGATGGAACCCCGCAGCTCCTGTTGGAACCTCGCCAACGCATTGAGCCCGGGGAACCCAGATCGCAGAGCTCCACCATTCCGATATCAAGCACCCGACGGCTGCCCAGCCAACTTGAAGCTGTTGAACCAGCGACACGGGCTCCGAGTACATGCAGCAGGTGTCGTGGGGTGGGCCATACCATGTCATCAAAGGCATGTCCACAGAGGTACTCGCATCTATTGCCGCAAGCAGCGGATCCTTCGGTTCTCGTCTCGCAGTCGACCGAAAGCGTGAACAAAAACCCAACAGCTGGAGGAGGCATTGCAGGCCTCTCATCAAACCCTGCCCAGGCCGCGCCAGCCCCCGTTCAACGCACTGCTGAAGTAGCCTCAGTGGCTGCTGAGTCGCCCCTTCGGACGTCTCCGTCGCCGCGCCATTCGCCTTCACCACCGAGATACGACTCACCACAGGCGATATACGGACGGTATACTGCGGCAAGAAGCGCTTGGTACGATGCTCGGCCTCGTGGGAGTATCAAAACCAACCAGGAATATCGGAGAGCTATGGGACTCCCTTTGCGATATGACAAGAAGAGCTATGAGTGGTGCATTGACTACAAACAGATGACCAAGTGATGTGTCACTCCAACAGGATCGAGGGAGTGGACTAAGGAAGAGATGTTGGCTTATCTAGACTGGGAAAGAGCTGAACAGGAGCGCGTCGAGGAGCTGCTCGTTGCGGAGGCTGGAGAAAGCCCGTTTCGCAACAAGAGGAGAGGCATGGGGAGCATCTGGAGACGAGTGGAGAGAGTGTATTGTCGTCAAATCGTAATTGTGATCCGTTGAGTTGCTACGAAGGAATTTGGTCGTGCCATGTATTGAGGGAAACCAATGTGGATTGCTTAGTCATTTTCACGGGTCCCCGTAAGACATTAAATCCACGGGTACCCGTGAACCTATTGGGACCCACGAAACCGTTGCGTGAAGTACGCCTATCGAGATGCAACAAATATTTTCCTTTATTTAAGTGCTAAACACGGTGGTGCGTCTAGTCAGAATGCATCTAGTCAGAATGCATCTTTCCGGCTGATCAGCCGATGTGCAGGCCCCTACCGACCGAGAAACCACCCGCACCCGAATGCTGGATGCCGGTGCCGTTGAAAACGTGGCCAGCCGGTGGCCGTCCATCGTCGGTGCCTGCCGCGCCCACAGAGTCCGTACATGCAGCGGGGATATCCTCGGGATCCAAGTAAGAGAGCAGCTCTTTGGTGCACGCGGCTGCTGCCGCCGCGGTGAAATGGTGCCACTCGTCGTTCTTGTGCGAATCGGCGTAGTCGGCGATGCCGCGGATGACGACGCAGGGAAACTCGCCCATGAGCCCGGCCGCCTCCATCTCGAAGCAGAGCACGTCACTCAGGCTGTGCATGGCCTCGCGCCTCAGTGCGGCGCTCTTGAGCACGCTGTCGCCCGAAGCAATCAGGCCGTGGTGGATCTTGGAGCGCTGGCGCTCCGGCCTGTGCATCGCCTTGGACTGGTCGCAGGCCGCGCATGAGGTTCTCCCGGGGTTATGGGGGTAGTCTTCGGGAAATAGGATGTCTGATTTCGCGGACGGCCGTCCGTAGACTGCCAACGCCGAGACCTTTTCTAGCATCGAACGCACATACTGATCAATTTTACTGTTAGCGACGAGATGTTCTGCCCGCATCATCTCCACGGCGCTCCTTAACAGCTGCGGAGGAGGCCAGAGGAAGACCTTGCGCCGGAACCTCTCGTCTGTGGCCTTCCCCAGGTCATACTAAACAACGCCGAGGCGCGGATCTTGGCCGCGGTGCGGGCTTCTTGGGGACGGGGGACGATGCCAGCGTCGTCGGTGACGAGGCGGGAGGCGCGGAAGCCGACGTTAGGCCCAAGATCGAGGATGGTAGAGAAGACGTCGCGGTGGGAGGAAATGGTGTGCTGTTGCTCGAGGTTGTCGCGGGAGAAGCCGCTGCCACTGTTGTTTCTACCTGTGATTCATCGGCGACGCGTGGGGTGTCGCGGTCCGCGCGAGAGGGGAGGAAGCAGACTTCTTGATTGCCGTGGACGGCGGAGGCCTGGTGGCGGCGGAAGAAACTGGGGACGGTCTGGTGTTTCGAGACCTTAACTGGTGTAACACAACAGCGGGCACGAGCCTCGCTGGACTCCTCGATACCAGCCTTTGTTGTTACGTGGTCGGTCTTGTTGTTTGATGCCCTCTGCTGCGAACATTCGCGTGGTGATGGTAAGCAATGGCTGAGAACTTGAGCGTGATGGTGTCTGGATAAGCTTGAGCTGTGCACCATCCCTCGCCAGATCGTACATGCTGTTGTGTTTTTGCGGTCTTGAGATCACTGGGGCGTTAAATTGGTCGGCATTAGTGAACGAATCCTCTCCGGGAAGCTCCTCGGTGACGGTATCGAGCTGTAGGTTGTGAAATTCCACGGGCTTCGTGGGGCCGCTTGCATAACGGTGAAAGTACTTCTGGTGCTCGACTTCAGCGTCTGAAAGTTCCAGCATCAGGGGCTCAAGTACATTGAGATGGCCGATCATGAATCGGAGGTTTGGGTCGGGTTGGGTCGCCTCTAAGGACAGCTTAGCTCGTGCCATGTCGGCAATGCAGTACATCTGCGTGATAGACAGCACCATATTCTGGCCAGCAAAAAGCAGAGGCGTTAATATGGTGGTAGAACAGTTGGATTGGATTTCGTTTACTTCATCTTCCATAGGACTTCAGCGTCCAGGCTGAGCGATATGGTATGGACTGATCTCAGCCCTCGAACAGAAGGAACATCAAGTCTGTACAGTAACTCACCCATGGACTCCGACAGTGAGTTGAGCTAATCTGAGACTCAGTATCAAAGCAGACTATTGGCTGATCATCAGCACACCATAGGGTTAGGCTGGATGAGTCCTGCCTGGAGGCTCCATTCGACATACTAAGGAAATACAAGCGGGATCAAGAGGTTGGTGGCGGATCGAGGAAATTGTGCAGATGGGCTGATTCTTTCAGCTCACATGATGCCACTGACAGTAGGCCCCATATTTCCATAATGAAGGATGGGCTGTCTGGGTTGGTGCGCGGCAGGAGTGTCATCCGGCGGCGGCGTTGTTGTACCAGAGTTAAACCGCCCTACTACCATAATAGTGCCTCTAACGGCACTGAGCACTGTTAGTGTACATGTACCTGAGCAAAGATAACTTTGACAGGCGGGCTTGGCGGGGTAACTGGGAGGTAGGCCATCTGTCACCACGGAATTGAACAAAGTGGATTGATTGTTGTTAAGGTACAAAAGGAGACTTCCAGAAGTCCAAACGAAGGTAATTGGTCAGATCCAGCATCGGTAAGGAGTCTTACCGGGGCGATAACGACAGAACAAATGCATCAAATGAGGACTCCACATTTGGGATGAAAGTACTCCTGGGTCACAGAACAGAACCTTGCCTGATCGGCAACACACCCCCTCAGATGGGTAGGCGAGCCTCTCTCTGACCATCTGAACCACGAAAGATCAGGCAGATGCCTGTTGGCGGCTTTTGGTAGAGAATTTGGTGCCTTTGGAACAGTTGGCGTTCTCAGGGCAGATGAAGGAAATCGTGCTTGTGAAGCAAATAAGGATGTGTGTAAGTGTTAGGAGAGGTGGGCGAAATTGAGCAAGCTGTTCACTGGTGGACCGCTGGTACGCACTCCATCTGCAGAAGCTTCACGAAGTTCTGATGCTTCTGAGTCGGGAGAATCTTTGTAAGCCCATCGCTCACTATCTTGTCAGTGCTCATCCAGTCCACGGATATCTTCCCCTGTCTGACTGTTTGTCGGATCCAAAGACGATGGATGTCAACATGCTTGAGCTTCGTAGTGGCTTGAGGCCTCTCACTAGTGAGTAACAGCAGCGTTTGGCGGTTATCACAGAACATCTGGATCGGAACCTTGCCATGAAAACGTAGCTGAAGCTCCTTGATCAGACGAAGAGTGGCAAGGTAGTTCCTCGCTGCGACACTGAGGGCCACCAGCTCAGCTTCGGTGCTAGAAGTGACCACGGATCGCTGCTTTGTAGCTTTCCAGTCAATTGGACCTCCAAAGAGCATGGTGGTGTATCCTTGTGAGCTAAATCTGGTGATGGGATCATCGCCGAATGATGCGTCGCTCGCACAATACAGCGATGTAGAATGGTCTCCTGATCCTCCGTAGGACAGCGAGAGAGTCCTTGTGCGATAGAGGTAGCGGAGACAGTGGTCTGCTGCAAGGTGATGGAGTTCTGTCGGCCTGAGCAGAGACTCCGCAAGTCTTGAGGCAGCTTTGGCCACATCAGGTCGTGTTGTGGTTGCTGCGTAATTGATGGAACCAATTTTGCGTTGGTATAGTTGAATGGATTCAGCAGAGGCTTCGTAATCCTTTGGAGCAGGTGCTGGGTCTGTTGATAGAGGCGTCAAATGACCTCTGGTGGATGGCTGGAGGTTGAGGTCCTTCATCTTTTCAGTGATGTAGTTCTCCAGAGACAGCCAGAGCTTGCGCTGGCTACGATCTCTGACCACTCTGATGCCTAAGAACCATCTGACCTCGCCAAGTTCTCGCATCTCGAACAGAGACTTGAGCTGGCTCTTCAGCTCTTCGGCCGCTTGGCGATCCTCTTTGCGGTTCATGAGGATGATGTCGTCAACGTAGAAGAACATGATCATGCCTCTGCCCATGAAGACACAGTTATCTTCCTCGAGAGCCACGAGGCCGATCTTCCGCATAGCCTCGGACAGCAGCTTGTGCCAGAGAAGCGGTGATCGGCGCAAACCGTACAAAGCTCTCTTCAGCTTGAAAATCGTGCGCCTCTGTGGAGCGCCCTTCTTCTGTTGCATCTCCTGCATGAGATCCCAGCCCTGAGGGGCCCAGACGTAGACTGTCTCGTCGAGGTGTGCATTTGGAAAGGCGTTGACGGCATCCAACTGGTGCGTGTCTAGGTCAAACTCTGCACAGATGGCCATCAACGTTCTGAACGTCTTGGCTGCCAGTGTCGACGCGTATGTTTCCATCTCATTCTTGGGCTGTTGGTCTCCTCGTACGCAGAGCCTGGCCTTGAACTTGGTCACGTAGCCGGTGGAGTCAACCTTGTATTTCCAGACCCAGGTCAACCCGAGAACCTTGTGTATTTCCTGGTCGACCGATTCGAAGGGGACTTGCTCGATTGTGTCCATATTTTCAATGGTGTTGACCTCCTGGACGCTTGCTTCTAGCCACTGCTTTTTGTGATCAGAATGAAGCATCTCCTTCCAGGATCTTGGCTCCGCGGGCATATCTGTTCGGAGAAGCGGTTTCTTGTTCGATGGAGTCTGAGTGTGAAAGAATGAGTATTCCACGGTCAAATGTGATGATGGAGGCATTTTCTTGCTGCGGCGGGCTCCTAGAGCCTGGTCGGTGGGGGTGCCGTCTTTGAACTGTGACGGCTTTCTGTCTCTAGCGCTCCTTCGAGTGCCTTGGATTTGTGTTGATGGCGACGGCTGTGGGGCTGGTGCCACTGATGGTCGGGCCTCCACAGTCTCTGTCTCGTCTTCAGCTGAACTTTGATCAGCTGGTGTGTGTTGAGGTGTTGATTCAGGGCTCCGAGCTACTTCGATAGTGTCTTCAATAGCCTCTTCAGTCACTTGAATGGTGTCTGGCACGGGGATCGTGTCTTCCACAGCATCTTCAGCCCCTTGAATGGTGTCTATTACGGCATCTTCCACCCCCTCAGAGACAGCTGGCTGGCCTTGTCCAGTCTCCGTCTCTGGAGTTGGACGTGGTGACGGCAGGACATCATCTCTGCTGGCTGTGTGACCTTCCCGGGGTCGCAGTATCTCCGCGTTGATCTTTCCTCCAAGTTGGAATGTCCGGGCTTTCTCGAACAGGTCGATGGTGGCAACATCGAACTCGTCAATGTCCAGTGACGAGTTGAAAGGATTCTGGGCGTCCGCAACGGGCACGTCCAAAGCCTGGAATTCGTCCTGTAGAATTGGCTTTGGGGATTGGGCGTCCTTGAAAACTGTGGACTCATCGAAACCCACGTCTCTTGTCCTCAATACTGCTTTCATCTCTGGAACCCAGATTCTGTATATGTTGCTGCTGTCGTATCCACAGAGATAGCCGATGTGGGCTCTCGGAGCCAGCTTCTGCTTTCGGTTACGTCCCTCTTGGGCGTCTGCCGTGAGAGGATACGCCCTGCATCCGTATCTTCGCAGGTGAGCCAGGGCCTGGAGCCGTAGTTCGAGCGGCAAGGCCCTTGGAGTTGAGCCAGTCGTTCAGCCTTCCTTCTGGTGTCGCCCACTGTAGGCGTCCCTTCGGCGTGAGATTGTGGAGATATGCAGCGGTTTGTACCACCTCTGGCCACAAATCCTCCGGGAACCCAGCAGCCGAGGTAAGGGTTCTTGCGATGGTGAATATCGTGCCTCCATTGCGTTCTGCGGCACCGTTCTGTTCTGGTGTCCTTGCGGCTGATCTCTCCAAGAGAATGCCGCGCTCTTCTGACCAAGTAACCAGATTGCTGCGTAGTGCTGAGTCCCAGTCAACTCTCAGGACCTTGATGACCAGATGGTACTGTCTCCAGAGAAACATCTCAAAGTTGATAAACGCCTGGAAGCCATCTGCTCTGGCAGGCAGAATCCTGACAACAATCTTCCCCGAATATGCGTCCGTTATTACAAGGCACGACTCCATGCCGTTGTACGACTTCCCAGGGCTGAAGAAGTCCAGGTTGACGCGCTCAAATGGATTCGTCGTCGTGTACGTTGGCTGTCTCCGAGATACAATCTTCTTGGATTTCGCTACCCCGCAAGACTCGCATTCGAATGTTGTTGGCCCTTTCACCCCAACTCCAGTACAGCTGTATGGCAGCTGCTGTATGGCCTCTGGGTGGGCATGAGCCAGCCGTTCGTGCCAGAGCCTCGAGTCGCTGACCATCGCGGCTCTCTGCTTCTTGGAGTGATAGAAGGAAGTGGTGCTATGTAGGGTGTTCACCGCATACTGGCCACCCTTCTCCTGAAGTGGGATCTCTGAGCCAGTGGCTGGGTTGAACAGCATGTTCCTGAGCGAGTCCAGTCCGAGTCCTTGGCGTTGGAGCTGCCTGGCTGAAATAAGCGTCGTCGGGTAGTCTTTGATGTACGAGACATCATGGCAGGTGATGCTGATGACGTTCTGCTTGCTGTCGAGGGTGTCGATGGCCATCGTGCCATGCCCTTCGACGGGGCTTGATTTGCCTCCTCCTGTGCTGTATCTTACAGTGTCGGTGGCCTCGCGAAAGTTGGTGAGGAGGTCTTTGTTGTTGGTTATATGGTTGGGTGTACCCGAGTCGATCAGGAACTCGTGACGGAGATCCCCTCCTCGGTTTGTCCGTTGAAACTCGTCCGAATCAGCGACGGAGAAGTTGCTCATGAAGTTGGTGTACTCGTCATCGCAGCTCTGTTCATCATCGTCACCGAGGAAGTTGTTAAAAGCAGAGACGGCGACTCCACTGGTGCCTCTTGCCTCCTGCTGCTTTCCTCGTTCATGAAGACGGCCGAAAGGCTCCTGTCGACTGTGTTGAGGATGTATTTCTGGACCTCCTGGAGGCCCGCTGACTCCCTGTTGTAGATGTCCAAATGGATCTTGTACAACGTCAGCAGTGTGCTGAGATCTCGCGTCTCATCTTCGAATGACGGTGCTGTTGGCTTCTTGGCCCTCTTGGGCCGCCTGTCAGCCTCTTTGTCTGGGTCGACTAGATCCCAGGCCTCGTAGGAGGTCGCCACGGCTCTGACGGAGTTGAGCCATGTCCTCCATTCCTCCCTCCTTGTAAGTGTCACTCTGTGCTTACCAGAGTCCATCTTGAGGATCCCTGGGCGTTGTCGGAGACCGTCGGGGAGGTCGTTCGATGGTCGCGACTGATCGCGTGTATGTTGAATATCATCAATTGACCCCGCGTGTACTCAAGCCCTAGGCCACACGTCTCGGAGGTTCAATTGGTCTTGAGGAGCTGATTTCTCCTGCTTCGATGTGTCGTGGAGAGATGATCGCTCTCCTGGAGGATGTCGGTAACGGCCCTTGGCCAGTGGTCGTCAATGGCGAAACGTCGCGTCAATTGACTGTTGAAGTGCAGCGGCGATTCAGCTGTAGACAGCTTCGCAGCAGGCGTATTGGCCGTAGGCGCCCTGCTGTAGATATCGAAGGTCAAGGAGCTGTATCGTCGCCCGGGCTCATAACTGTCACCACGGAATTGAACAAAGTGGATTGATTGTTGTTAAGGTACAAAAGGAGACTTCCAGAAGTCCAAACGAAGGTAATTGGTCAGATCCAGCATCGGTAAGGAGTCTTACCGGGGCGATAACGACAGAACAAATGCATCAAATGAGGACTCCACATTTGGGATGAAAGTACTCCTGGGTCACAGAACAGAACCTTGCCTGATCGGCAACACCATCTTAGGTCGAACACACTTCCAGGCTCGGTTAACAAAGTGGCCTCTGTTTAATTTATGGGTCCTCAACCCGGACTACTCCTGCCGAGAAAAAGTTCAATTGGTCAATTGAGAAGATCCAAGCGGGAGCTTGGTAGATCAAGGAATACCCCCAAGGACTCGGCTAGCTGGGCCTCGGTAGGGGTCTCGACAGCTAGTGGTCAGATTGGTTTGTCCTCCATCTGACGCAAACCAACTGATGCAGGTAGGCAGGTGTCTGAGAATGGTACGGAACACTCGACCGGGACAGTGAACAGTCAATGTACAATCAGTGAATATCCCTGCTGCTAATACCTACGCTGGTACTTTTCTCCCATCAAAAGCGCGTGGAAAGGTCAAGGAAGGTAGGACCTCCTCACTAGTCCTTCGGCCATGCCATCGCGGGCCGAGGAGCGTTTTCCATACATTGTAGCCACAGATAGACGGACTACCCCCGGGGCCCTTCCACTTCCAAGTATTTCACCAAGCCTGGGGTCTGCATATAACCCTGGAATCGTGCCGCTATAATAGAGTTACGCGTCAGAGCTACGTAATTATTTCAATGCACCTGAGACACGATCTGGGAGACCTTATCTGGCGTAGACGATACCACATAACGACACCATGACGGCACGCTCGCCTGGCCCCCCCCCCCTCAATTCACTAGTTTATCAGACTCTAAGCGCACTCCCTTTATTACGTTGAAAGCCAGTTATTTGTTGCACATGTCGCAATTGATCTTAACCGTCGATCCCAAGTCATCGATTCAAGATGGCCTTTCCTACATCAAAAACATCAGGATTCAGGCATATTCGTTCCATGGCTGCTCCTCCCCACGTTGTCGGACTCCTCAACCACCACCCGCCGCCGACGAGACTGGCCCTACCTCGTCAGCAAACTCAGGCCATCAAGGTTGCGTGTGAGGCGTGTAGGAAGCGAAAAGGCAAGGTAAGTCTTTGCAATTCCAACCCTTCCTCTCAAGATTGATTGGTTCTCAAACAGGCCATTTCCAAGTGTACTGGAGAGCGACCTAGCTGCCGTTTTTGTAACGAGCGGGGTTATAAGTGCGAGTACGACTCAGAACCGATGCAAACGCGCTCGCAAGCTCTTCGACGCCAAAACGAGATACTCGTAAGGGAGAGGTCGCTGTATGAGGACTTGTACCGGCTTTTAATGATCCTACCCAGCGTCGATGTCACAGAGATGCTTCATCAATTGCGATCAGGAGCCAAGTTTGAATCTGTTGTCACGCAGGCGAGGGACGGGGCTATGCTATTAGATTCTTGGGGGCCTCGAGGTTCGACCTCTGCTCCAGCTCCTCTTGAGCATCGCAGCGAACGGGGATACTCGGACCGAGGACCCATAACCTCCGAGTTATAAAGAAGGGCGATATCTGATGGTACTCGATGCAGTTCTTTCGGCTTTATGCCTGTCACAATGCGCAACATGACAAACAAGGAATGGGTGAACTGTCCTCACGGTGCCCGCGTTTACTTTGCCCCTGTCCACTTCGTCCACTCGAGATGTGTCAACCGTGCAGAAAAAGGTGCCAGTAAAGGTCGAAGGCGTAGTACTCATCAAGGAGAGGGTCCGTACGTTGGTAGGTTGGCTCGTCGGCGGCCCTTCTATTTCCTATAGTCCGCTATCCTCCCTCATCCCACAGGATAAGTTACATACAAAGTCGCCCTGAATATATCGGGGTCCCATAGTCAGAAAGCGACCAACTTTCTAACGGGCTTCTGGGCCGCCGGCTCGCCACCGCCCGGTCCCCAGCCACGTAAATAAAAGGTGCAAGGGCGTTTCCCTCTCCAAGTCCACCGACATGCGCGTGCATCCTCTCCGGCCAAACATACCCCTTCCCAAGGCCTGTCACGTTAATCTCTCATGGCGGCAACACCACGCCTAAGTCCAGACCACGCGGCGCGATCTCGGCGCGAGAGGTGCCACCTAGGAGTCCTCCCGTTACGACACCTCAAGTGCGAGTCAAGTAAATACCGTAGATCCCTCAGTTGTCCTAGAGGCGATTTCTTCGACGTTTCCTTCCCTCAGCGGCTCAAGTGCGAGTCGAGACTACTTCTTCTTTATGACCCTTACAGATCGAGTACATCCACCACGGCCCACCAGTTATCCAGGGTAGCAAGCCCCGGCCTGGCTTCCTGTTGCTTATCCTCGTCTCCGAGCGTATTGCCAGCTCGAGAGTTGGTTTTTGACAAGCCGACCATGTCTTGCCCCAGCGCAACCGACTGCCACCACGCCGGCATAACAGTCCATTGACACAGCTGTGACTAACCGGCCTTTATCCACTATATGTTCCTGCCGAAGCGGGGCGCTGTCGCGGTCTGCTAGCCTCGCAGGCTTCGACCGCGCTCCCGGCCAGCCAGCTGTAGCCACTCTGGCCTCAACGGCTCTGTTCCCGAGATCTTGACAGCTTCTATTACTCTAGCTCTTCCACTTAGATATTTGTTCGGGTCCTCGCGGCTACTCAGCGCTCTTTACCGTCTCAGAGCCCGGAACGGCCGAGGGCGTCCTGTCGTCGCCCTGAGACTCAGGGTTTCGTCGGATGGTTTTCGTACCCAGTACCCCTCTCCGCAGGATAGGGGCCTATCGTCTCGAGCCCGGAATTTTCGTCGATTCGTCGTCATCGTTTCAATTTGGCTGGCGGTTGTTGCGTTGGGGCGAAGGCGAGGTTTGTGATTTTATTACGCCCGATAGGGTCTAGGGTAACTACTGGTTAAATACATATTCCCTTCCGTCACGCATCTTTCTCATCTCGTCCAGACCTTACAAAAGTCTCCTCCTATATGCGTTCTGAGCTTGATCCGTGTTTCGTGGCGAATTTTCGTGAGGGTTAGTAGCAAGTTGTCCGTGAAGGCGTCTTCTCCAGGTGCCCAGCTTCCTATAGCCAGCCGCTGGTGCGAACCTACTGTCATGGCGCAAGGTGAATGTGTTAGTAGGAGAGGGTGTGTAGTTGTGGGTAGGGTTATGGGGTTTTCTGTCCTTCGTTCAGTCTTCCGGTTGCCATGGCATACTTGATGGTCGCATGCACTGCCGCCATGTTGGGTTTCCAATCTTCCAAGTCCGTGGGCGCCTCTGGGCGGCCGCCCCTTCAATCTGTCGCGTAACGTTGATGCAGCAACATTATAGATCTTCGCAGCTCTCCACACGGGCAACTTCGGTTCTTTTTTGATAGCCTGGATAGCTAATAGTACCCTGGCTTCCGCTGAATCGGATTCCATGTTGCGCTGAAGAGGAATGTGGAGGTGAAGATCGATGAGACGCGTCGTGGCGGGAAATGCGCGGCCCGCTTATATGCGCGACTCGCTTATCAACCACGTTATGCGATCCACAAAGATATTCTTCGAAAAAAGCTTCAATCATCACCTGCCAAGCTTCACCTCTCCGCTGACGTATGGAGCGCACCAAACCATAAAGCTTTCCTTGGAATATGTGTGCAATTTATACAGTAAGGCACGAAAATCCCCTGTCAAGCACTGCTGGCCTTACCTGAACTTCCGGGTCCCTGGAAGCCACAGCGGAGCGGAGGGCCTCTTTCCGGCGCTTTTGGCAGTCTTCCGAGAGGCCACGATGGAAAGGAACATCCAATGGGCTTTCCGAGGCGCAGTATTTACGCCATTTGACCCTGACTCTGTGGTTTCTCGGTTAGATGAAAAGCCATGGACGCAGACGCCGACGCCTGTTGAGGGGTCCTAGAGACACCCGTACCACGGGTCTTAAAGACACTTAATGACCCGACTGAAGCGAGGTCTCAGTCAGATCTCATCAAAAGCCGAATCTACTGTCACTGAAGCAGCTCGCCGACCTTTATTTATGAGGCTGTTGACCGAACTTTGAAAGGGGCGCGGGGAACTACGCATCATATCACCCTCTCAAGTCTGAGAACCAACCGCGTCCTTCGAGAGGAGAATGAAACGCGCAGCCGACGTCGTGAAGCTAAGAAGTCACACCTTAGACAGGTATATAGTATGACCTTGCTGATTGGCGGAATCTCCAGGCTCAGAACGAGGTGGTTGCGCAAGTGAGGTATGAAGGGCGGCAAAGCAGCTGTCGCAGTCGAGGACGGAACGGTGGCGTCTGCGGCACGGTAGGACACAACGCCTGAACTTGTAAGATAGCAGTGGGATTCTACTTTTTTAGAAAACGACTCCGATTGATTGTAATTGATCCTACGTATTATTCTCGGCTTACTGGGGGGGCCAAGGGCACAACATTGATATTGATGGTTGTCACATCGTATTCCACAAGCGAGCCGGCCACCTTCACTACCTCTACAAACTGGAAACCTCACAACTACCTTTTCTATTTTTTTTTATTTTTTTTTACACTAACCAGAGATGGAGACCCTTTCTAAAGAGTCTCAATTGAAACTCGACCTTTAAGCTATGGAAAGAGAATCGTGATTTACCATCCGTCGCGGAGCTTCGTGTCCGAGTGGTTAGACAATCTTGTGAGAGATAGAGCTCCAGAGCTTGACACCAGCGTCTGCCCTTAAAGCCTCGTGCTCGCACTTGGCTGCGTCAGCAACAGTCTTTGGCTTTGTTTGCACCATCCCCCGTAGCACCCTCGAATCCCGATCGCACCACTCAACCAAGAATCCTGTATACCCCCGAGCCGCCCCAGCACTCGATCGAGATGTCTAATTGGGACGCGTCTTTCTCGCCTAGCGACGATGACGACGTGTTTGACATCAACGAGGACCAGAGGGATCCGAAGCCACGGAATCAGACCATGGTGACTTGAATCTGGGCTCGGGTAACGACGACTTCGGCGTTGATAACCAAGCCCCGCTCTACGATGGTAATGTGCATCCACCGGAGTACTACCGGGACGCTATACTCAAGCCAGTGCAGAGGGATCCTTACGAACGCTACGCGAAAAAGACCAGGCTGCGCCTCAGAGAGGTCGAGGTCATGTGAACACAATATGTGGCTTGCCCTCGCCCTTCTTTATATCGTTCTAACAATGGCAATCTGCAGGTTCAGCGACAAGGTCCTCCTGGCCAAAGAGCTCTCTGAGTCCGTCTCGGTTCCGTGGTGGAAACCTTCCTCGAATGGACAATATTTCAGATGGTCGGCGAGAATGGCAGGAAGAGGCGAGGTACAGGCACGAGCGGCGCTCTCGAGACACGATGGAAGATGCTACAGATCATCTAATATTTTGGCACCTTGCCGATAGAGGGCGGTTCAAGCACGGCTTGCTAGCTTTCAACAGATTGGCCGCCTTGGTTGCCAGGAGCATCCTAGCGCTAGGAGCTGGGCGACTTGAGTGAGTCCTAGGGCCACAAGTCGAGGTCTTTGACAACACCACAGCTTCCCCTCTGTCACCATGAAAAACAAATCGGACATTGTTGAGCCATGGTTAAACTCCATGATGATAGTGAGTACATATCTCACCCCATCGTGGCATGTTTAAGTGCGCGCTTCGTTTTCCAGTTATAAACGGCCACTACCAGCAACCCCCCTACGCGGCCAACGACCTTTTCAACCTTGGCGTGAAAGTAACAAACGTTGATCTCCCTGGCTTGCCAATCGCGCCATGCTCTCCCCGCTTTGCCCGGTCCTACGGCTTCAGCCCACCCTGCTTGACCTCACCTTAGGACGTGACTTTCCGTCTCAAAGGCCAACTGACCCGCACTACGGGTGCTTGTTTGGGAGAAAACCTGACCCACATCAGGTTGCATCGTGGTCTCATTAGACTCTGTCACTGTGGCAAGTGGAAGCCAAACTGACATCTTCGAAATTAACCACACTAGAAGAGAATACGGTTGTCAAGTACATCCTCCACCTAGAACAGCCATATCATGGGCAACATATACGCATCGAGGCCTGCAAAGCGGATCCCCGTGCGACATCGGATGTGCCTAAAACGTCTCGTCGTTTCTCAGAGCTGATACCGGGACTGCCAGTGCTGCCTCCCCCATCCCCCCATTGACCTGTTGTTCGGGCGCGGCCAACGCCTGCCAGGCATTGGCATCACTTAGCCTTTTCGCGCGTGAGATGATGATCCGAGTCGTGGCCCGCATCTGGCGGCCGAATTCGGGAAGGGATTTTGGTATACCCTGACTCATGACATAGTCGTTGAAGCGGATGAAGTCACTGCCCATCTGCTCATTGTTCTTCTTCAGTTCCTTAACCCGTTTCTCCAGAATCAGGATGGAGTTCTGTTGTTGTTTTCGATACGCGCGTTGGGCGAGGCGGATCTGGGTGCGGCGACGCTGTGGAAATGTCACTCTTGTGAAACCAAGCTTACAAGCATTGGTATTTCAAATAGGTGTTTGCTTCCACACTTACACCTAAAGCGGTCTGATCATCCACATCCAGCTGCGGTCTCCCTCTCTTCTTCTTCTTCTTCCTCTTCTGTTCTAGCATAGCTCTTGCTTGTGCTGCCAACTGCGCGTTGTCATGGCAGCGGTATTCGCGCTGTTGAGGCCTTGTGCGGGTCTCGTCGGCGCCAGGCAGTGAGGATGTGATTGACGCTCGGAGAGGCAGACTGCGAGGGGCTCGAAAAGAAGATACTATACCGTCATGGTATGATTCGGCGTTGAGAATGGAGATTTCGGAATGCATAGCATGCGCCGTCTGTCGTAAGGCCTGTTTATAAGGTAGGAGAGGGTCTGGACCTCGACACATCATCTGCTGGAAACCAGGTGATCGTGTGGTTAAAAGGGGAACGGACCCTGTAGGGCTTCATGCGCCCCCTCGTCCATTGGGGGGCACCTGTGTCAAACCTTGGCGGTTAATTGGCTGCTGGGTTGACACTTGCTCCTACCCAGGCGGTCGACTACAAGTACTTGTCATATCGCACGGACCCGGGGCCGGTCTACGCTACGCTTTGGCGGACAGTACACTAAGACATGCATACCAGGAGATTGCCGTGATCTTTTTCATCGTTCCAAAGATGAAACATCTACAGGACCTCACGTAAGTGTGGCCGAGGCGTCTGTGGTTGATTGACTTGTCTTGTTCTAGGTACAAAACGCGACATCCGACGCGTCTTACATGAATGAATCCCGACAAGCACCTTACCAAAGAAACCCGTTTATCCGGATCAAATGTCCAAGTAAAGTGGAGCACGACTAAGGTCGTGCCCACGTACTTCTACCTTGACTACACCTCTTGGTCCTCGGCCGCCCTTCCCACCTTAGTTCGTGTGATACAGGTGGCAAAAACTAGCGGGGTCCAGGCCCCGGATCCAAATGCCAAGATACAGGGCAGCGAATGGCAGTACGTCCCAACAACAGTGCAGTGCTGAGCTCGGGGCTACGAGCGGCTGGAATATGGAACATTGGATGTGGTACTGGCAGCCAGTTATGCATCATCCACTCCTGTTGTATTGCGTTGTCACTGGTCTACCAAATGTGTGATGTCAAAGTGACAGGCTGTCGGCACTAGGGATGCTACTGGGCTGGGAGCGAACGGCATACACAGCGCGGCCGCGGCACTCGGCGTGTGCTCCGTCAACCCACGCAGACACGCACATGTTCGCACTGCGTTTGCCCTGGAGACCGACCAGGCCTTGTACACCCTTTCCACGGCGCCGGCAGCCTACCTTGGCGGTGAAGCGACGGGGGTCGATTGGGCAACAACTTGTCACTCGACAGAACAGCTACAAAAGGTTCATCAACCAAGTTACACCCATTAAGAGGTCATTTTAATAGGAAGACTCAGCGAGAAGTGGCGAATACGATACCCGACAAATGTAAAGTGGGACGTGATTTAAGGTCATGCCCACGTCCTTCTACCTTGACTCCTCCACTTCTACCTGCAACACCAACACCTACCGACCCTGACGCTGGCCCTGAGCTCCCGCTGCCTTACTATCGCGATCCCGACAACGATGGCCTGACGTCATCACCATCAACAGCACCAGTGCCCGCAGATTGGCCGACATCCAATTGCCCGACTGCAGACGGTGCGTTCCGAGTATCTTCAATTCTAATAGGCCCAGCGCCCCATCGGCATCTGTCTAGAGCAGGGCAAGTCCTGCCCATCCACGATGTCCCATCTGTTCCACGCCGAGCGTGTGATCTCGCCTCACGTCAAGATCCACATCCTTCATACAAAGGTAACAAGCATGCAGAACGAAGTGCCAACGATTCCATTTGCTAGGTGCTCAACAGATCAAAATAGCTAACCCCACGTGCGTTCCTCCTACTGCCCTAGGTAGGCGGAGACATCCTCTACGCATGTCGTTCTTCTCCCGCTATGGTGCTCCTCATCCTGCAGTCTACCCATGCAGTCGTCCCCTAGAGGACGGTGGTCTGTAATTCCTACTGCGGCATGACTGTTGCTGGCCTCTGGTATAGCCATGCTGGCACTGCCAGCCTCGCAGTATGAGTAGAGCCATGGCCCACCAAAGTTGTTGTGCTGTCCTGAGGGCGTAGCCTCGTTGGACACAGGACTCCTCGGCATCATATTCAATGGCACTATATTTGATGGCTGCGTATATGCCAACCCTTGGCTGCCAGGCACGGCGATGTGCTTTAGGTTCTGCGACATGAGCACAGTCCCCGCATCCCCCATCGCTGAGCTCGGAACAATAAGCAGGGAACTATTTGCATCCGCATCCAGCTCAATCGTGTGGCCTCCTCCGTCTCCACACACTTCGTGTCGCAACGGCATAGTCCAACTCACGTCTGGCGCACCAAGTTTTGGCGGGATGCCGCCATATATGGGAATGTCATCGCACAGCTCGGGGAAATGATCGAAAAAGTCGACGTTCATGGTCCAGGAGTTGATGTCCCTGATACGGTCCTCGAAGAAGGGGGAGAGTTGGAATCGACCGGTGACGGTGTCCTTCATGAAGCAATTGTTGAAGCCGAACTGCCAGAGGATGGTGAGGCTGGATCCGAAGAGATGCCAAAATATGTTTGCACAGTAGTGGTGTTGGGAGAAGACAAAGCGCTCACGGACACCGGGCCTGTTGGCTGTCAGTTAAGGTCCCAAGTCTGAGCGGTGCATGGCGACACCTATGCTGGTGAACAGAACGTACCAGACGAAGAAGTCAATTGCGTATGAATGAGGAAGGGACTGTGATGGCCTCGTGCCGATTAGCCGAGTACTCCGGACCAAACATGAACTGGCTAGTCAGTTTACCGTTTCCGGAACCAACGTGGCAAAGTCGCCATTCTCGCGGGCGTAGGGTCACCATGACAGGTGATCAAGACATGCATCATCTTCAGAGTAGCGAGTCTTTCTACTGACCCGCACTTGGAGAGGCAGAGACCGTCAATAATACGCAGCTTCCGCCATGAGTCGGTCATCATACCCGCCCTCTCGACGCTCTCCCAGCCTTCGACGATGGCTCGAACGGGCGTGTCTTGGCTAGCGCGATCTTCGTCTTCTATAGCTAGCGGCGACATCTTGACAGGCCTGCCAAGTGCATGATTGGCTAGTCGCCAGATATTGGGGTTGGGGTTGCGTTGGTTGACTCGTAGGACTGTAGAGCAGTGGCAAGGTTGTGGGGATTGGGGAATGATGAAGCTATTCCCGAATGAGTTGGTCTCTTGTGAGAGTTCCGAGTCGCTCCTCAGAAGCGTGATTGGAGTTTGTTTGACCTCATCGAGGTTCTGAACTACATGTCTCGAATACGACGTCATCATAGGCTTGCCAGCGATTATGGGCTTCTCAGGAGTATCGAACTCGCAACTGGCATTCGCTGGTGGCGGCGGAAAACATGTGCCGGGCGTGACGTACTCGTTTCGACTTAAGGGAGATGCGGGCCCCTCTTCCAGAGTGTGCGTCTGGTCGGAAGGCTGAACGTCCTCAGGAAGGTCACTTGGTGATACCATGGCGCCGACCACGGAGCTCAATGAGACCTTCGACTGAGCCGAGAAGGTATCTGTATGATGCCGAATCGTCGCTCCAAGCGATGACAGAACACCCATAAGCTTGTCTCTCTCCTGCGTCGTCTGTAGCAATCGCTCCATGAGGCGCGACGCCTCGGCGTTGATGTCATTGCGGGACAGATGCGCGACAAGCTCTTCAAGTTGAACGATGCGATCCTGAGTGCGCTTTCGCGCCGCGCGCTGTGCTTTGCGATCGAGCTCGCGTTTCTTGAGCCGCGAGGCGGGGACTTCGGGGTGATGGCGGCTCTCGGCTCTATATGAGCCATGAGGAACATTGCCTGGGAGCACCGTCGTGTGCAAGGTGGATATGTGGGTCTGTAGAGTCCTCATTTAATGCATTAACTCACTAGCTACCGCCCGGGTAGTATGCCATCCGTTTAACGGTTATGGGCAACTGGCCAATGGTCGTCCGGAAGTGACGGAGGAAAGTCTCCGTTTGTACAACAACAACAATCCACTTCATTCAATTTCGTTGTGAAAGTACTCGCGTCGGCCGGACCTCCACTCCGGAAAGACTTTCCTATGATTGGGTGAAGTTGAAGCTCCACAACTGTAGACGGAAAGCGACCCAATCGACTGACGGACAGCCTCACCTTGCCTCCCACCACTTCCATGACCTTAATCCCCTGTCTAGCCCCCGATTATCCGATTAGCAGGAGGATTGGGTTCCTACGCCTCATAGTTATGCCTGCCTCCCAACTACCCCGCCGTCAGACTTTTCCTCGCTCAGGTACATGTACACCAACAGTACCAGGTGCCCCTAGAGGCACCGCCATGGTAGTATACGGATTAACTCTGGCACAAGGCCGGACGACACCCTGCAGCACATCAAACCACACAGCCAACTTGCATTGTGGAATTAAGGGCTTCCATCATGTGAGCGGGAGAATCAGCTCATCTGCACGTTGTCGAGGAAGGTTCCTCGATCTACCGCCAAACTCTCGATCCTGCTTGTATTTTATGAGCATATCGAGTGAATGGAGCTTCCAGACACGACTAACCCTTCCAAGCCCTATGGTGTGCCAATAATTAGCCCATGGTCTGCTTTGATCCCGAGTCTCAGATCAGCTTGACTCACTGTTGGAGCTTTTAGGCGAGTTACGGCACAAGTTAAAAGTTCGTTCTGTTCGAGGACTTGGATCATGAGTCCATACCACGCCGCTCAGCCTGGGCGCTGAAGTCTTATGCAAGATGAAATCAGCGAAACTCATCCAACAGTTTTATCACCCCATTAACGCCCCTGCTTTTTGCTGGCCAGAATATGGTGCTGTCTATCACACAGATGTATCGCATTGCTGACATGGCACGAGCTAAGCTGTCCTCTGAGGCGGCCCAACCTGATCCGAACCTTCGATTCATTATCGGCCATCTTAACGTACTTGAGCCCCTGATGCTGGAGCTTTCTGCAGCTGAAGTCGAGCACCAGAAGCACTTTCATCGTTGTGTAAGCGGCACCACGACACCCGTGGATACTCGCATCATGGAACTCAATGCTGTCGCCCAGGTGTTTCCGGGGGAGGATTCGTTCACCAACGGCGACCAATTCAACGCCGCAGTGATCTCAAGACCGCATGAACACACCATAAGGTACGACCTCGCAAGAGATGCTGCACAGCTCGGGCTTATCCAGACACCATCACGCTTGAGTTCTAACCCAACTCCTTACCATCACCCCGCAAACTTCTGCACCAGAGGGCAACAAGCAACAAGACCGACCGCGTAAGAACAAAGGCTGGTATCGAGGAGTCCAGCAAGGCTCGTATCCGCTATAACGTATACTAGGCGAGGCATTCGAGAACGTCAGACCATCTTCTGCCCCTACCGCGGACATCAGGCATCCGCAGTCCACGGCTATCACAAACCCTGCTTTCTCCTCTTTCGCCCAGGGCACAACATCCCACGCAGATGAATTTCCAGGCAAAATCAACAGTAGCACCAGATTCTCTCGCGAGAGTTTCGAGCATCAGCACCCTGTGTCCTCTCACAACAGCGGCAGCAACTGATAAACCGGAATATCTTCTCCGCGGCCTCATCGTCGCCAATCGACTAGGCCTGAACACAACCCACACCCCGCGACTAGGTCCTCAAAGATTGAGTCTGCTTGTGCTAGCTGGTGGCAGGGCCAAACCAGTTACATTCCCCGAGTTGCTTGTGTTAAAACAAGTAGGGAACCTGTTCTCTCACAAGAGCCCGTGTTAGGTATGCATACCAACGACCGTGGGTGTCCTATCGAGGGGGGATGAGGGGGATGAGGGTATATGGTTATGACGGCCAGAACTAGGTCCATTGAAAAAGGGAAAGGAGGGGGAACAGAATGGGATGAGATGTTCAAGCAGAGTTGAGCAGAGAGGAGGAAAGAGGCTCGTGCCAGACCAAGCCACAGGCAGATTTGGGTGAACAGCCCCGCGTGTGACGTGACGGGGAAGGTGCGGCAGCGTAAAGCGAAAAGGGATGGAGGAAAGACATTGGCAGGGGCCGTGCTCGAAGACCGGGCTAACTTCAATCTCTGGGCTCATCTGCTCTCTTACTTCCCCCACCTCTCTTGGCTGTGGGCTCCGGGGATTTTCCGACGTCTTTTTAACAACCGTATCACATTTGCTATGTTCATAGTGGTCACTCTTGGTCAAACTGAGGACCGAGGGACTGACCGTGGAAAGAGCCATAGAATGAGAGAATACGAGTAAGGAAAAGAGGCCAAGAAGAAGAAGTAGCGAGGAACGGCTTGAATAAAACAATGAAAAGCAAAGTTGAGAGAGAGAGAAAACGATACAGCACGGCATAATGTGCGGGCAGGCTACCGGACTGGTCACGGATGGCCAAGCGCGAGGCACCCTGGAACAGATACATAAGCCTTGTCATTATGATACGATACCGTGTTTGAACACCCACTAAGTAGCCACTTTAGGTTGGGACCATGATTAGTGTCGGCTTTTAATTACAAAAGGGGGCCAAGCCAACTCGAATATGCAGGCAGCATTTCCTGGTCCCAAAGCACCTGCAGGAGCGACCAAGGTTCGTGCTCAAGCTCATAATTTAGTCAGCCCGTGACAGCAAGCATGCAGAACGTAAATGCAGCCAGTGGTCGAACCGGGTTGCACTCACTTGTCACATGGATTACGAACGATGGCGTTTCTTAATTTTGGATTTTGGACTCCAGATCCTGTGATTCGCCGGGAATGAGAACACGGTTTCACTAGTTCGTGGCGTTATCGGGAGTTGGGAGCTTCTTTGCGAAGACGCTGGCAACCAGGGCCCTGGCTACCCGGCTGGGCTCTCCAGCACCTGTCAAACGTCGAACGACGAGAAGCGCATTATGCCGGAGGTTTGCCGACTGGGAGCCACTATTCTCGCCTGAGGACGACACGTGAGGTGAACGGCATGCCCTCCGAGAGGAGGATGATGGTGGGGCCTCAACGGATCGTGAAGGATCGGATGCGATGCAACTTGAACGGCGTTGGCACTTCTAGTCTTTCTGTCGCCTTTTGCGGGGCGTGGTCCATTTACCGCTCAGTTATGCTGTCAACGTCACGTCACTCGACGCCGAAGAAAACTGACGATCGCCCTCGTTCGCCAAAATAACAGTGAGAAGATACCTCAACAAAGTGCCACATCTAATTCCTCCCCTTGCCGTCTCGTTGTTGTTGGTGGCTCCCCTTACCCAGTGACGCCCCGGCCTAAATCAGCGTTGCCGACGGGGCATGTTACTAACATGCACCTACATAGAGCTGAACAACGATTTGGCTTTTCGACTCTTTCTTAATTACTGGTGAATGATCATTGACTTCTACAAGTGATAAGAAAGATTTTGAACCTCTAAATCAGACTTACTATCACAGCAGTGGAGTGTTGTCCCGATAAACCTGCGGCTTGGCACCCGAAGTTTTGGGTGAGGAGGTAAAATATGACTGGTTGGGGCCACGCTGAATGATCGTGATCACAGCGATAAAGCTGACTTTGGAGGCTTTATATCTGTTTTGCACGGCTCATTGATTTGTCATTGTAGCTTCATTCCCCGACTGTGACCAAATCTGCTCCAGCCAGCCCCATGCTGAATGAGGCGGGTCTGATTCACAGCACCTTTCCGGTGAATTAAAACTTCGAGAGTTTTTCCGATCTTGCGGTTAAGGTACCTGATAATAGCTCGACTGACGTTGGGATTCTCCGCGAGCTCTGCGCAGGTGTCGCAGAACTGCGCATGTACCTCTTGGAGTTTGCGAAGCTCGCTCATTAATAACTCAAGCTCAAGGTGACGGGCATTCTCGTTTTCCAGCGCAAATGTCCCAAGACTGATACCAAAGCCTGTCCTTGGAGTGCCCACGCTTTGTAGACTGCCTAACACAGCGACGCCATCAGTATTGCCTCCGTAGAAATAGACATCGGTAGCTTTCTGGTAGAAGTTCGCAATCTTGCCGAGGATGGTTCCGAGCAACATGACATTCGTGTTGGTTCCGACCGACCCAGGCATGATGTGCAGATAAGCATGGCTACACAACTCTCCATAGCCCTTCTATTCAAATGCAAAACAGTGGCAAACCGTGGGGGGCCAGGCAGCGAGGCGTTGTGCAAGGCCTAGAGGGATTGAAGGCAAATGGTAAACAGGTGTATTAAACCACCATATTAAATCCTAGTATAAAGGTAGGTAAGTCTACTAACAGATCTTCTAGGTACTAAGATAACTAAGATATAAAGATATCTATACCTCTATAATAGAATAAATAACGGAATCTATAATATCCGGTTTTAGATATACGGAAACTATAGCATCCGGTTTCGGAACCTATAGTACCCGGTTTTAAAATAACAGAACCTATAGTATCCGGTTTTAGATATTCGGAATCTATAGTATCCGGTTTTAGATATACGGAAACTATAGCATCCGGTTTCGGAACCTATAGTACCCGGTTTTAAAATAACGGAACCTATAGTATCCGGTTTTAGATATTCGGAATCTATAGTATCCGGTTTTAGATATACGGAAACTATAGCATCCGGTTTCGGAACCTATAGTACCCGGTTTTAAATAACGGAACCTATAGTATCCGGTTTTAGATGTTCGGAATCTATAGTATCTAGTAGTAAGGGTAAAAGGTCTATATAGATAGCTATATCCCCTCTACTAGATAGAAAGAAAAATAGCTATATAACATACAGAAATACAGACCTACCCTATTCTACCTATCTTACTAAATTCACTCTTATCTAACTAGTTCTATCTAGTTAACCCTTAGCTATCTACTATATAGATATCCTTATCTATTTACCTTACAGGTATCAGCTTCCCTTATTTGAACAAGGTGCAAGCATTGACGACGACGTGCTGGGGCTCATGATTCAACCAGAACCACAGTCTGGCGTTGAAAGTGGGCTTGGGGAGTATGTCGACACCATGCTCGTACGTTTCAGCGCCGGGGCGGCTGAATTTTCGCAATAAACACTCTGCGAAGCTGGGTTGGTCAAAGTGCTAAGCTGAATTGTCGCCGCTACGTCCATTGAAGCTAGGGAGATGTACAACCCCAACACCTGCGTGCCAGTGAAGGGGTGCTCAGTGTAGTTGCCAACATCAAAGTCGTTGGTAGGCGTCCACTGGAGACCAGGGCTGTAGAGGCTTGCTGCATAGTTGTGGTCCTGCACGTCAAAAAGACTACTCGCATACGACAATGAAGGGAGGTTAGCAAAGGTACTGGTGTAGTTGTCGGCCCAGTCCATTGAATTATCCCGGTTGTCGTCTACTCCATCGTAACGGTGCATGCCAGTCATGCCAGCAAAGAACGCCGCGTTCTCTTCGACCATGGTCAAAAGGTTGACCGTAGGGTTTTGCAATGGGCTCATACGACTGTTGGAACTCCGGAGTGGCTTGAACGTATCCGATCTATTGGGAGAACAGTATCGGCACTCCAAACCCGATACCAAGCACCTCGAGCACACGGGCCACGCCTTGGAGCATTTAACCTTGGCTAGGTAGCAGCTATTGCAAGGAGTTTGAAGCCGGGAAAGTCGTGGTTTGGAGATCGACGACATAGTGATTATGATGGGGTGGAAATGTGCTATTTCTTGTGTTTGGTGGAAAGAGATGAGGATAGGTGTGTTGAGCCGAAAGGTAGGTATACTGGGTGATACCGGCAAGACTGTGAGCGAGGAAGAACCTGGGTGACGTCACACTGATAGGACGGCGAGCTGCAGGGAGACAGCCAGAAGAGACAAAACCTATTTGCAACAATAACAAGAGAATGCATGGACTTAAGAAAGGTCACCAGCTACATAACAAGCAGGGTAGCCGGAAACGGAGAGGTGTCACCACGAAATCGAACAAAGTGGATAGATTGCTGTTGAGGCCCGAAACGAGACTTGACCGGTGATAACAAAAAGAAAAAATGCATCGGGGTCTGGGCCACACGTGTGAGTGCCCTGGGTACACACGAAGAACGACGAGGGTGCAGGGACGAGAACACAAAAGTGGTGGGGAATGTGAAAGGGCTGGTTTTTTGGGCCATGATCCAGGCCCCCGCGTCTGTGGTTGATTGACTTGACTTGTTCTGGGTACAAAACGCTACCTTCGACGCGTCTTACGTGAATGAGCCCTGATAAGCATATTGTCTGAAGAATCCGTCTATCCGGACCAAACGTCGAAGTAATGTGGAGCACGACTAAGGTCGTGCCCACGTACTTCTACCTTGACTCCACCTCTTGGTCCTGCGACAAGGACACGCATTTGGGTTGATGAGCGTTCGATTAGGATAACTATAAGAGAAAGCAAAGGCTGTTTACGGATGTCTTGTTACTTACAATGCTTCAGTTTCAAATATGTCTTCCCAGGCTTTCCTTCCTTCTACGCGTCAATTCCCGACACCCGTGACCTATGCTCAGTCCATGTTCGAGCATACGGTGCAGCAGATGACAGCTAAATCTATCCCCTACGCTAGCCCGGGCAACATCACCGAAACTCGGTTTCGACGCAAGCTCCCTTTGACAGTGAGCTCGGAGCTACGGGAGGCACAGCTATCGCTCATTCGCCACCCACAGCAGCGCATGCAACATCAGGTCCTGCCTGCAACGAGACAATCGGCGAGTCTTGCTCCTCAGGCTCATTCGTACTCGACTGCGAATTCACCCACCAGAGAGGGCATCCAACGCAAAGATGAGCCCCGTCGCCTGTAATGAGCACAACAGAAGTCAATTGAAATGGCACCTGCATCTCCACTAGGTTGGATGAAGCTGCCATGTAGGGAACCAGGGTCGGCGTTTCGAGCTTGAGGCTAATGTCGAGGAGAGGGGTTCGGCACTTATCAGTATACGCAGTTCAAGTACTGGATGCATTTCGATTGTACAGACTGACGAGCCTTTGCTCGGAGAAACATACTGCATATGAACCCGATTGCACACAATGGATGGTTACCAGATGAATCCTAGTCGATAATTGTAGCAAGCTGAGGCGGACCCTGTGTGTACTGTTGTCATAGGCTCACCAAGTTATGAGCTTAAACTCCTCCTACGGTTGCTTCGGAACCAGGAAAAGCTGCCTGCATACTACCTAGTAACTCAACCAATATTGACAAGGCCTATGTAACTGTTATAGAGCACCTCAAGCTCAGCAATCAGTGACCAGGCAGGCAGCTGCCTTCCTCTCCGTTAGCTAGTGCTCGCCCGACATGATACCTCTGTAGAATCCCTCCATAGTGCAATAGTAGTTGTGATCGATTCCGTACCTGGTCATGCAGCAATGACCCGGCAAGTGTGGTTCTGGGAGAAAGTCGTCTTAGTGGGTCATCTTCTGCCGCCGGCTGTTGTCGTGGAGCCTCGATTCCATCGTGGGTTGAGACATGGCCAGCACAGCATGGTGGGCGGACTCATGATCTGTCTCGTGTGTCATGCACTTGACCAAGGTTCTGGTCAGATCCTCCGAGCTAGGATCGCGTCGATCGTCGATGCTTGGTCTCTGCCCTACCAAGTCCTCGTTCCCCACGGTAGCAGGCTTCTTAATCAAGTATTTGTTTATAAGGTCGATGACCACGGCGGCCTCTCCCTGTCTGTCCGATGACATATCGTCCTCCTCCTCACAGACAGTCGTGCCGGTTGAAGCCTCCGGCAATTATCACATCCACTACATGCCCTCCGGCCCGTCGGGCTTTGCAGATCATCCTTTCCGATGTCAGGTAGGTCTCCAGCAGTGCCTCCGCGTCGTTGCCCTGGACGTATATGGGCAGCAAGAGGATCTCTCTGCCCGGCAGTCGCACCGTCGCCGACACCACGTTCGACGACGGGACCGGTATCTGCTCAGCGTCTAAATCTTTGTTCACCCACAGCATGCTCCTCGCTCCCCGCTTTCTATCTCGCCACACCGTCGGCACCATCTTGGCTCACTTCCAGTGTCTCATCGGGACGGTCCATATCCAGCCATTAGCCTCCAGGTCGGCGGTTCTAGTATTTTTAACGCCCACCAGTTCTTTTATCGCTACTCTCGTGTACCGGCTTCCGCTTCCCTACATCGAGTTGGAGCATCTGGAACTTCCTACTCATGCTGGCCGGGGTATAGCTTCAGGTAGCTCTTACTGAACAACTCGAGCGGTCCTCCGCAGGGGGCTTGAGAATTTCCTTCCGGCACTCGTCGTTGCGATGGCCATCCTTAGCGCTTTTAGCGCACCTCTGTAACTCCCTTCGCTTAAACACCTTGTGGCCAATTTCTTGGCAGTTCTAGCATTGCTCCGGTAGGGGCCGTCGTTCAAACACGCAAGTGCACTCCGACTCACCGCCGGCTGGACGCCACCGGCGTGGAAGTATCCTTCCTGCAAGACTTTTCTCGCGTCTACCGCCTTCGTCAGATACAGCACCATCGATCAGTATGCTTTCGGAACATCCCTCTTGCTGAGTCATGACACTTTGGCCACCGTCGCCTCGCAGCACGCGCGCTCCGCTCGCCTATTCCACCTCTTGGCCGGTTGCTTGATCATACATTGTTCTATTTCATCTCTGCAGACAATCTTGATCCTGTTCGCAACTTTCGCATCCACCGATACCGCCTTGCACCTGTCGTCCTTCCCTTTGATCATCATTTCCTTTACCACCGCCATCCTCACAGTGCCCGCTTCTACTTTGATCCTGTCCATTTCCTCCACTCTAGATGTGTCAATAATGCAAAAGAGGGTGTAGGTGAAGGTCAAAGGCGTGAGTACATCGAGTAGAGGATCCATGCGTTAATAGGTAGGCTCGTCGGCGGCGTTGCAGTTCTAGGATCGTTACCTGTTAGTCTCTGCCCTCTTTCTGCAGGTCCTCTACCTAGGGGAGCACCCTCTGCATCATTCTGAGCATCACGTCTCCATACGCGTTGCTCTTCTTGTTCGGCTCCTCTCAGTGGCTCCGCCACGTTTCCGGTTCCCCCCGCGTCAGACATGCCCAACGGCGACGAGACGCATCACAGCGTAGATTCCTGTCCTCGAATCCCACAATAATTAGTACAACAGCTGATTAAACGATTGATAAACCATTCGATCCCCTCCTATGATCGACAGTTTTTGCTGATGAGTTTTGAACGAGATGAGGCAGGTTCCATCTGAACCAGTCCTGCCTACAATCCAATTGGCTCGAAATCCTTCTTTACCTCCTCCGCTTAATCAGCGAGACATCTTCCTGACGAAGTGGTAGTGTACCCGTTCGCCTCCTAACCTCAAGCACCCTTTCAGACTAGGCCAAAGCCACATCGTCTTGCAGACCAAACATTTGGGCGCAAGAGTCGGCTGGGGGCATTCGGTTATTTTCGTGCTCGTGCATAAGTGACATCGAATATGGCGTCCTTCAGCTGGAGTCTGCGGGCCTCGCGTTGCTTGAAAGCTTCGATGTTTACCTACTATGGCGTGACTATGGCTTGGGCGGTTTGGTTGTCTACGGGTCGGACCACGGATCGGGCCACGGCACCATCGAAACGGGCAGAACCTATCAAAGAAATACTCGAGAATACAACAAAAGGAGCAGAAAAATAATACTATGATGCCCTTTGACAACAGACGAAAATATTTTGGAACGACTTCCAGGCGGACAACGACAAGGTCTGAAAGGTGTGAAAGCCCGCCAAGTACTTGGAGTCTGACGACGACGCAGCTTGCGGCGAGGTGCCACAACCGGCGAGAGCTGATTGCACAGGCACAAGACCAACAACAGAGGGCAAGCAGAAGAACTGCTGACTGCCCTCTTCCTCCCTTACCTGAGCACATCGAAGAGGGAGGAGAAACACCTCGGAGGGGCGTGGGTCGCTGGGCTAGCCGTGGAAGACTGTCGTGAAGGTATTGAAGCGATCATAATCTCAAGGACCAGGGAAAGGTCCTGGAAGTGTCCATAGACGCCAGGCCCAAGTAAAGGGACAAATGATGATGATTGAGCACCGGTGTCACGAGCTTCGGTCTAAAGCTTTCAAAGGCAACAATTTCGACATTCATCTCAAAGGTAAGAATCAATGTAAATCAAATGATCTATCTTATCAACTGTGCTTTGAACCGAGAACTCATGTCCCTTGTCATCAGACTTCGTCCCTCTCTGTGTTCCATGAGCGGTGGATCTAGGGTCCTCGTGTTGCGGTTCGCCTCGATGCTTTCGAGGCGGACGAGGAGCAGAGCTCCTAGGCACTCAGAAACTTGACACTGCGTCCCCATCTCCCACATGCAGGACAATAGACTCAACCCCAGCCCCTGATCGCAGTCGATGAAGCATCTCGATGGCATCAGCGCTGGGCAGGGTCATAAAGAGCCGGTACAAGTCCTCGTATAACGACTTTTCTCTTGCGAATACATCGTTTTGGTGCCGCAGAGCTTGCAGGTGTGTCTGCATAGGCGCGGTGGTGTAAATGCATTTGTGGCCCTGCTTCTCGCAAGGGTGGCAACTAGGTCGCTCTCCGGTGCACTTGAGTATAACCTGTCTGAGAAACCGATCCAGCTCAAGAGGGAGATCAGAATCCTTACTGTTCAAATAAGGGAAGCTGATACCTGTAAGGTAAATAGATAAGGATATCTATATAGTAGATAGCTAAGGGTTAACTAGATAGAACTAGTTAGATAAGAGTGAATTTAGTAAGATAGGTAGAATAGGGTAGGTCTGTATTTCTGTATGTTATATAGCTATTTTTCTTTCTATCTAGTAGAGGGGATATAGCTATCTATATAGACCTTTTACCCTTACTACTAGATACTATAGATTCCGAATATCTAAGACCGGGTACTATAGGTTCCGAAACCGGATGCTATAGTTTCCGTATATCTAAAACCGGATATTATAGATTCCGTTATTTATTCTATTATAGAGGTATAGATATCTTTATATCTTAGTTATCTTAGTACCTAGAAGATCTGTTAACTATACGATTTGCGATAACCACAGGTCGACTTGACAACACGCAACGCTGAAATCAGGTTGCAATACCCCACTTTCTTACTAACCTACCCTACATCCACCAAACACCTCGTGCCATGGACAGCAGGCAGCCAGCTGTTGCCGATCAGGCAAGGTTCTGTTCTGTGACCCAGGAGTACTTTCATCCCAAATGTGGAGTCCTCATTTGATGCATTTGTTCTGTCGTTATCGCCCCGGTAAGACTCCTTACCGATGCTGGATCTGACCAATTACCTTCGTTTGGACTTCTGGAAGTCTCCTTTTGTACCTTAACAACAATCAATCCACTTTGTTCAATTCCGTGGTGACAGTTATGAGCCCGGGCGACGATACAGCTCCTTGACCTTCGATATCTACAGCAGGGCGCCTACGGCCAATACGCCTGCTGCGAAGCTGTCTACAGCTGAATCGCCGCTGCACTTCAACAGTCAATTGACGCGACGTTTCGCCATTGACGACCACTGGCCAAGGGCCGTTACCGACATCCTCCAGGAGAGCGATCATCTCTCCACGACACATCGAAGCAGGAGAAATCAGCTCCTCAAGACCAATTGAACCTCCGAGACGTGTGGCCTAGGGCTTGAGTACACGCGGGGTCAATTGATGATATTCAACATACACGCGATCAGTCGCGACCATCGAACGACCTCCCCGACGGTCTCCGACAACGCCCAGGGATCCTCAAGATGGACTCTGGTAAGCACAGAGTGACACTTACAAGGAGGGAGGAATGGAGGACATGGCTCAACTCCGTCAGAGCCGTGGCGACCTCCTACGAGGCCTGGGATCTAGTCGACCCAGACAAAGAGGCTGACAGGCGGCCCAAGAGGGCCAAGCCGCCAACAGGCATCTGCCTGAAGATGAGACGCGAGATCTCAGAGAGAGGCTCGCCTACCCATCAAGATCCATTTGGACATCTACAACAGGGAGTCAGCGGGCCTCCAGGACTTTCATCCCAAATGTGGAGTCCTCATTTGATGCATTTGTTCTGTCGTTATCGCCCCGGTAAGACTCCTTACCGATGCTGGATCTGACCAATTACCTTCGTTTGGACTTCTGGAAGTCTCCTTTTGTACCTTAACAACAATCAATCCACTTTGTTCAATTCCGTGGTGACACCAGCTTAGCACGTGTTTTTACGCCTATGGCGGTTGGCGGGACCTTGAGCCCGTAACACGTTAAATATACTACTACTACTACTACTACATGGACAGCAGGCACCGCTTCAGCCGCCGTAGATAGGACTCTGAACACTTGGAGAATAGCCCTCAAGTTCGGTTGTTAATACTGTAATACAAACCTCACGAGACCCGCGGAAAGATTGAAAAGGAAGAAGCAAAAGCAGAAATTGGACGCTGCATGGGCTTTTGCGAGATCACGACAAAGTTTGGGAAACGGAAACGTACAATAGCAACTAGTGCCCTATTGGTTATAAGCCACCGGGCGAAATAAATTGTGTGTGTGTGTGTGTGTAGAAGTTTTGTGGCTCACTTATATTTTCCACGAGTGGATACAGACCTAATAGAGTTATAAAACTAGAGGCATCGCCGAGAGACTATGGGAATTTCTTCTCTCGTCTCTATTTCACAGCGCTTACCGAAAACTCGGGAAATATTTGGCGTCTTTCTCTTCTCATCCCTAAACAAGCTTTCAAGGCGAGTAACATAAATAAGTGATTGGACATACAAACAAAAAATATCGCACGGCTAACAGGTTGCGTCTAGAAGGAAACCTCACTAAAATCGGGCAAGAGAGGAGTCTGTGAAATGGCAGTGCTGCCCTGTTATATTGAGCCTGAGAAGCTCAGACGGCTTGTGCTAGCTATGCTAGACGCCCTAGAAGGGCTACCTGACGATGTCATTGTCCAGCCTAATTCTATTATCCTAGGTCGAGAGGGCCATTTTATTACTCCCGTCATGAACAAGAAGTCGGTGCGGGGACGTGTATTGAGAAGCTCTCTTTGGTTTTTCTCCCCTCTTACCAAGGGCATTCACAGTCTCAGTAACCCCCGAAAATGGGCTAGGCGCCAGTTGCTCTTTTCCCTAACAGCTTATGCGTACGCTTGGTCAGAACAGGGCGTCGTCAATGAGTTTGGAAAGCCCGTGTCTTTAGAGGAGAGGGTTGTTTTGGATCCCGGGGTTATTATCTCCGAGGGGCTTTCTGGCGAGAATGCGGTGGCTTCTAGTGCATCGTTTCGGAAATTCTTGCAGGACTTGAAGGTTATAAAAGCTTCGCAAGTTAGCAGGGAACATCCCTCTTCTATTGGAAGGTGGATAAACGATTGGCGCGTTCAGTATGAGAAGAAGCTTGTGTATGCAGGTTAATAAGTGAGATAAATCTCAGCGTCTGCCGGAATGGACATGATGAAAGCTAGCCCACTACCTCACAACTCTTCCAATTCAGAAAATAATAAAGATTTCAAGATCGACTTACAAGGGTTTTTTTTTCCTGCGGTATTACAGTGACTTCTGTTGGTGTATACACTGAGGTTAGATAATGGTCACACTTTGTCAGAACGGCCTCGTCTCGTTAAATGACCGATTTAGCCCAGTTTTAGTTAAAGCCCTAACATCCTTTTTGTCAAACCCATTTTTACATGGCGCTGCCATCACGATTGTAGCTCTCGTGCCTCTTTCTGGTCTTCAGCCTTGCGTCGGAGGCACCTCCGCCCTCTCTTTCCCGAACGCCAAGAAGAATTTTAGCCACCAATTCCTTTTCATCGACGAATGACTCCGCCAAAATTTCCTCTGGAAGAAGCATGGTATTTAAGTTGCTAAAAAGGCTTTCGCAGCAGCTTGGCGGTGGCCTTGTGCCCGTTCGTAACAGTCCATAACCGAGGCGTCCGGTTAGAGCTACGCTTCGAGTCGACACCGGCCTTTCCACGACGAGATGCAGAAACGAGCTGTACGATAGAGGCCGTATGATTATACTCTTCTTACCTTAAAGCACCTGCTGCCTTCAGTCGATTTATTATCTCTAGATGGCCTCCCTCAGCGGCTGCTTGGAGCGCCGTCCGTCCATCTCCTCCAGCGGCGGCGGCATTGGCATCGGCCCCAGCCGTCAGCAGCTTCTCGACAACCTCTAGATGGCCTCCCTCAGTTTTAATAAAACCTTATTGTAGCTCCTATCACGATAAGGGCACTGTTCCTACCAATCCATGCTGTTTGCTATTTAATAGCAAGGGTCGATACTGATACCTTAACGGGTGAATCCAGACCGGTGGAGAAGTATCCCAAATCGGTGGTGATTGCTGGATCTATCAATGGACCTGGAGTCATGACTGTTCGGCTGAACCGCCTGCCTGGTGACAATACCATCCACGCCATTGCTGCGATGGTTGACGAGGCCAAGTCCTACCGAAACGCCACAATGGATTCATCCTCGTCACATCACGCAGCATGGACGCTGCTAAGAAGCTAACAGGTAGCCACAAGGCTGTCTCCAGCATCTCAGCCATCTTTGTGATCTCCTCGAGAGACTCGAGAGAAACTCCAGGAGGTCATCGAGCATCGACAGGGTCCAGGAACGTGACACGCTTACCATCCTTGCCTGGTTTAACGAACACAATGCAATCATTCCACGACGATGTGAAAGGCCTCTAGCGAGTTGATTCAACTAACTAGTCCCTATGCTGTTTACTTTCAAGGTGAAGAAAGGGAAGAATCTAAATACAAACTGGGTGCGCGAAGACGCGTTATATCTTCTTTAATATAGAAGATTCGAGAATCAACTCGATGGCGCTGTGGAGAAGAATTCGGGCTTGGCGGCAGAGCCGCCAGCCAAGTGGGCCTGACCCGTTACAGACGAGGCCTAGAAGCCGTTGGCGTGACTTTCATTCTCAGATTACAGCCACTGTAGGGTCCTATGGGCATTTTGGTGAGCCCCCTTTCTCCCGCAGCGCTCGTGTGAAGCCGTCAAAGTCATTGCTAGGCAAGTTACTTACAGAAAGAAGACTTTAAAAAGACAGTAAAGGGGGTCGAGTCCACTATTGCAACACTTCCGAGGAGTATCAATGAGGCATATGAGCGAATTCTTAATAAGACCAAGGAAGATTCGATGGTTCGGAAAGCCTTGAGTATTATCTTAGCAGCGAGCCGGCCGCTAACCCTCTCGGAAATGAACGTTGCTGTGAATATAGACGCTAAATTACAGTCTATTCACGACCTCGACTTAGAGGATGACGAGGACTTCAAGACGCGTCTCAGATCTTGGTGTGGATTGTTCATCTCAATCCATCAAGGCAGTATTTATTTCCTTCACCAAACAGCTCGCGAGTTTCTCCTCACAGATTTGGCATCGCCCACAACTGTTTCGTCAGAGCTGCACTGGCACCACTCTATCACTACCCAAGACGCGCACGCTGTTCTTGCAGAGCTCTGCGTGCTCTACCTGAACTTCTTTAACTCCAACGTTAGTCTACCTACAGAGGCGAATGAGGAAGCCGGCCACTCTGTCGATAGACACGCCTTCTTAGATTACTCGGCCCAAACTTGGGGCGCTCACTTCCGTGAGGCTGGTATAAACGATGATGCTGCCATTATACCTTTCGCTCTGAGAATTTGTGATCCGGAATCGAAGAGCTATTTAGTATGGTTTAGAATTTATTGGAAGACTACAAGTATGGAGACTACTGAGTATTTTACAGATCTCATGGTCACGTCTTACTATGGCCATCATGTGGTCGTCAACCTGCTGCTCGAGAAGGGGGCCGACGTCGAGGCCAAGGACAGCGGGTATAATCGGACGCCGCTCTCGTGGGCGGCCGAGAAGGGGCGCGACGCTGTCGTCAAGCTGCTACTCGAGAAGGGTGCCGACGTTGAGGCCAAGGACAGCGGGTATCGAACGCCGCTCTCGCGGGCCGCCGGTAATGGGCGTGCGGCCGTCGTCAAGCTGCTGCTTGAGAAGGGCGCTGACGTCGAGACTAAGGACGGCAGGTATGATCATCGGACGCCGCTCTCGCGGGCTGCTGATAATGGGCACGAGGCCATCGTCAAGCTGCTGCTCGAGAAGGGCGCCAACATCGAGGCCAAGGACGGATTGGGTCAGACGCCGCTATGGCGGGCCGCCGAGTGTGGGCACGAGGCCGTCGTCAAGCTGCTGCTCGTTGAGAAGGGTGCTAGCGTTACAGTTGCAACTAAAGACGGGCGGACGCCATTGCATTTGGCATCACGAAATGGACACATCGAGGTGGTCAAGCTGTTGCTAACAACACAAGTTCACGATGATCGTGATTCTTGCCTCATTTTGTGAACGAGCGACTTGATATTGACAGGCACCAGTAACTGCCCCTGATCTAGCGGTATGATATCTAGCTTGTATTGAGCAAGCTGTTCTCCATTTGAAGCAGCTTCAGGGAGACAGCAGGCAGCGCTGCTAGAAGACCCGGGTTTAAACCCCGGGCGGGTCATCTTTTTTTCTCCTTTTTACCCCTTGATATGGCGTCCCGTGGCGACATGAGGCAGGAAGGAGATCGCTGCTAGCAATTTTGCTTGCCAAGCCCTGGACCCCTGTTCAGCTTGCAATTCATTCAAGGCAATTCAATTCAAGCCAATCCCGGGCTTTACTGCTCAAGGCAATCCAAGTTGAAGGGTCGACTTGGATTGAATTGAATGCGTGTAGCGCTGGCACATCCTGGTAGATTAGAGTGAGGTTGAACAAGCACTGAGAAATGAGACCGGGGCTACCAGACTCTTCTAGAGATTGTCATTGAATAGCTCCATACAAAAGCCCATAGAGATCTTGATTATGTCTTATCAATTCCCCTGCTTGTACGCAAACGGATGTTTTTCTTCTCCGCGTGGTTGGGGTCCTTGATTTGGTCGCTATAATTAGATGAGATAATAAGGAAACTAGTCTATTCTAAATGACGGCAATGACGAAGACTGAATAATACAAGATAAGAAAGGTAACTTGACACTAATTGGCCCATAGGTAGGTCTCATTCCATCCAGCTTTTGAAGTTTAAGCAATTCGCTTCATAAACTCACCAGCTTTCAAGGCGCACTTCTTTGCTTCTTCGATGAATCCTATCCTGGCTCCCATCATGATTACGTCGTGAGGGGCGTCGTCCTCGACGTAAAAGTCCACCTCGGTCCCAGCACCCCGGAAGCCCTGGACGAATCGCACGTTGTCGTCATAAAACACCTCTTTACCGCAAGTCTGGACCCAGACCGGCGCTTCGATGTGGAATGGGCTCCGCACTGGAGAAATGTAAGGGTCCTCCGCTGATACGGCCCCAAATCCGGTCAAGGCTTCGGCGCCCCAGTTGGCGAGGGAGCTGTGGAGGTAATCTGTAGAGTAATTGCGGTGGCTTTCCATGTTGTGAGGGTCCAGGGCGGAGGCCACTTCGACCAATGGGGACCAAAGCAGGGCCGCCTTGGGCCAGGGAAGTCCGGTTTGGGGCCCGTGATTTGCGATGTACCTGAGCATGGCGATTGCGAGGTTTGCGCCGGCTGAGTCGCCGCTAAAAACGATATTCGACGCAGAGATTCCGACATCGTTTAGTAGGTATGAATATGCCGAAAGAGCATCTTGGAGCGCCGCAGGGAACCGGCCACCTGGGTTGTTGGAAAGTCTGTACTGAGGCGTGAAGACGTGCGTACAGGGCGTATTCTGCAACAGGTTCTCGGCGATGAAGCCTGTATCCGCGTCTCGTCCGTCGCCCATGACGTAGGCGCCTCCATGGAAGTGCAAGACAACGAGTAGGCCTTTTTGCTGCCCTACAGGAGCTGGTGTCCAGGTGCCGCCTATTTCCGCTGGCCTGATCTCAGCGTCATCTGCGGGGCCTGTGATCTGAGCCTCTTTCGCGGGAGGGATGAGGACGAATCTGTCGCCTTCTGAACCGGGCTGGAGGGAGAGCGGAGCTGGCGAGCGTAGGGCGCACAGATGTCGGAGGAAGACGTCTTTAACAAGCTGAACAGAGGCCGCCTTTCGAAAGGACCATGATGGATCCGGCCTTAGTCCCCGGAAGATACCAGAGGCCACGGCGTAAGTTAGCGACAGGAGAGTTGCGGGTACGATGAAAAGAAGGTAGAGGATCTTTAAGGGCTGCTTCGACCACGGAGACGGCATTTTGCTTGGCTAGTATCTAGCGAACAGGTATTGATTAGAAGGGTCGGAGAGAAGCAAGATACGAGAAGAGAGTTGAGTTGATGAGTAGGATGGGCATGACCAAATCCAAAAGATGGGATCGTATAACATATATAGTCTCACCACGATATATGCAAACAGGTGTTGACGAAGTGTTAGTTAGGGACGCACCGACTTTAGGTTTCTGCTAACACCGATTTGTAATCCCTTCAACATACTATGCTTCATGCGATGGTAGAGCTCTGGCTAGCGCTAACTCAAACCAGCTCGCACTCGGAGGTTACCCCGAACTCCGCATTTGACAAATGCAGTAACTACAAAGATCAGGGAGCCGGCGCGGCATTGCAGACGATGATTGTTCAGCAAGGTGTTGTTCATTTTGGCTCCACCGGAGTAGGTTAGAGCAATGCAAATGTCTCGGCTTTCTCGGATCAATCTACAATCTACCTCGTTATCGCATTAAGCTTCGCGTCGGAAACTTATTATTAGCGCCATTGATGTCGGGCTTGTTTCTTGGATCATTTTGGCGCGGAGCTTGGAGTTGGGGTCCCATTCCTCGAGGAGATAGGTGTCGAGCGGGTTATGTTCTGTCAGTCTACGATCTTATTAACGAGTGAGTCGCTATTACAGAACCCGGCGAAGCGCTTCTCTGAAATGGTCTCAAAATGGTCGACTTCCTGTTGCTAAAGAAGGATATGTCTAACACTAAGCTTTGAAAACATGCCTTTCTATTGGCTACGGGTGGTTTTTTTCGGGCTTGTCCCTTACACGATATGGCAAGCAGACATCAAACGCTGTGTCGTATAACAATACTAATATAATAGACGAAGGGAAAGATATTGTAGTATTTGAAGTGCACGGAAGAGAGTCGACATGCCATGATTCAGATTTGCCGGAGCGGTAGACGGTAATCCTCCCGAGAACAAGTCTCAGAGGAGGACTGGATGAGATCTCGATAGCATTAGCTTAGTAAGGTTTTGGAGCCCACTGAATGAACGATTACACAGCACTTCATAAATGGAAGGAGCTTGTGAGAGTGAGTGTGAATACACTACCTACTAAGTGGGTTGGAACTAAGTTAGCCAGGAATGGTCGGCAAGAGGTCGGCCAGCGTTATGTCCGAATTCGCCAGGGCTAAGAATTCCCATTACATCAGACCGGATGGCTAGCCGTCCTAGGTTAGCACTCCACTTAACGCTAATAAATACTCACGATCCATTGGATTAACCATCACTTCCCTTTCACGCGGGTCGGACGGTTGTTTGGGCTAGAAAGACAATAACCGACATCACGGTATTTATCTAGCACGTAAGAAAATTCGGCTGCTAAGTCTCATCAGTTGATAGATGTGATATATACCTCTGACGTATCTGACACTATCCAACATATACAGGCTAAGGGCCTAACATGGAGCTGCAACACTACGGAGTATCGCCCGCACCAACTCACCCTCCCCCGTACTAGCTGAAAGGTTATTTAGGTTGCGAGATGGGTCCGGATGGGTTACCACGAATAGCTAGTCTCCATAAGCCTATCTCAACTTCTCCGTAAAGGCTTGAAAATGCAAGGTCACAAGTGCTGTTTCGACCAGTGGAACATAATCATCCCATAATCACTGCTAAAACTCGCTAGCATCGTGATTGTCATGGTGGCACCATCAGATGTAATATGCAAGTACCAAACCTTATTGTAGTCCCGCCTGAGGCGGTGGGTTGGCTTAATGAGCATAACCTTGACCTTCCTCTACCCAAACGATGCCGATGCGACGCACGACCTTGAATACTACAAGAATTTCCATATGCCCCTCATGCAGAAGCACTGGGCCAAGTACGGCCTCAAGAGGTGGACCGTTTCCGAGTTGTTGCCGAATACAGACGGGTCACCGGTCCCGTATGTATTCTATGGAGTGATTGAGCTGGAAAGCGCCGAGCAGTTGCAGGCTGCATTTGCAGACGCCGCTGGAGACGAGATGGCGAATGATGTGAAGAACTATACTAGCGTCAAACCCGCTGTACTCGTGGGAAAGATTGTGCGCGACGTCCAGCTCTAGCGGACAGAGCACGTCGACTAGAATAGTCCTGTCATCGGGCGCAATTGGCTAAATATCTCGACTACTCACAATCGGATGATAGTACGATCAAATATGTAGAGTGGTAGCACACCTACTCCAAGGTTGAAAATATCATTTGTTCGACTGTCAAAAGCGGGGGTGGCAAGGGCCTCGAATTGAGAGCTCAGGCTGTATTCTGTCTACGTCAGATCAGCTGTCAAGTCCCTCTCGCTCCATAGAAATCGAGCTTTGAGGGTTGCCACCTCAGTTAGGTGACTCGCCTACGAGTCAATTCTTCGTGTTAAGTATCACCCTGGTCCCGGCTACCCCGACAACAGCTGCAACCAGACCCAAATGTGTCATTTTCGGGCCGAACTTAATATGGCGCTTATGATGCATTTCTATCGGGGGTAATCTTAACTCCGGCGGCCAATCCGGCGAACATGTGCTTCCTTGCGAACCTATGCCACTTATGCCACTAGGCCCGGCGTTCGGAACTTTGAGACATGCGTTGCCCCATTAGTTTCAGCTCGAAGACTAAAATATTTTATAATTACAATCTTTAAATGCTAGTTAATAAATGTGATTTAAATAGTAATTAATAATTAATGATTAATAATTAAATAACGTACATGATAAGCGAGTGGCGCAAACAAGCGAGTGGCGCGCAACACCACAACCAGGCGACTATCACCCCCAATAAGTCGACCAAAACACCTGGAATCAATTGAAATCAATCGGAATCGCCTTCCTCAGACAATTTCACTACTATCTGACAACTTCGTGCGTTATGTCCTGTCTTGCCGCAGACACCACAGCGCCGTTCCTTCACCTTTGTCCTCGACTTGCGACCGCTACTTTGTCTCTTTTCCTGCCTCACCTGCGCATCCACCTCCTTCTGGGCCTGGATATCCTGTCCCTCAGATAGCGTCATGCTCCCTCCCTTTCGGAGACGTGACTTTTTGGCCCTTCGACGCCGGCTGAGTATCTCATTCTCCTCTCGAAGGATCCGGTTCTCAGACTTGAGCAGGGCAATCTGATGCATGATTCCCCGCGCCCCCTTCGAAAGCCGGTCGACAGCTTCATAAATAGATGTCGGCGAGCTATTCTGATGACGGGAGATTCGGCCCTTGATGAAATCCGTCTGAGAGCTCGCTTCAGTCGGGTTGTTTGGCGTCTTAGAAACCCAAGGTTCAGGCGTTCCACGACCCCGCTCCACAGGTGTCGGCGTCCGTGGCTTTACATCCAGTCGGGAAATCACGGCTTCAGGGTCAATCGGAGCAAGTCCTGCGCCTCGAAAACCTCCCTGGATGTTCCTTTCCGTCATTGCCTCCTGGAATGCCGCGAAAAATGCGGGAAAGAAGTCCTCCTTGGTGATGTGGCTTGTACCGGCCCTCATCTTCTTCTCGATTTGCCGTCCATACGCTTGCTTGAGCGGGCCAAAACAGCCAACATCCAGAGGTTGGAGTATATGAGAAGAGTGAGGAGGCATACAGAGCGTGACGATGTTGTTCTCCTTGCAGTAGAGTTCGAAGTCCGTCGAGTGGTGACTTTCGTGGCCGTCCAGGATGAGGAGGCGATATTTGCCTGAAGAGCGCGGTTTGGTGTGCCTGTCAAAATGCCGAATCCATTCCAGCCCTCTCTCATTAGTGGTCCAGCCGTTGTCAGACGTGGAGATCACCCAGTCTCGCGGTAGAGCGCTGTTCTCGTACCAGGTCGAGAGGTGGTATTTGCCAGAAACGATGATGTATGGGGGGACCGTCCAGCCTTGGGAATTGACGCCCTGGATCACGGTAACCCATTCCCGATTTCCAGGCTGGGCTAATTTCGTGTTGGAACGCCTGCCTGCACTGGTGACGACCATGCCTGTCGAGATGATGCCCATCATAAAGCCGGTCTCGTCGAAGTTGTAGATATCCGACTCCGCGACGCCGTACTTCGCGATTGTATTCCGTACAAGCGCAAACCAGCCAAGAATGATCTCCGGATCTTCACACCGGGCCCTCTTGTAGTCGTATCTGCGAAAGAAACGCGTCCGGAGCTGCGGTTGTCGCTTTACGAAGTTAGAGGCCCAGCGCTTCCCGACGCTGGGCGCGTCGCGCTCGGCGAGCAGTCGATTGGCCATATCTTCCACTCCACGAAGCCGCGGAGGGAACGATCGCGCATCTAGGTCCAGGACATATTGAACAATTGTCATTTCCTCCAGATCTGTCAAATTCCGCGATTTGGGCGTGGTATCGCGTCGTGAGGACCGGCCGTTGAGCCGGCGACGAAGTGTCGTTTCCGGGACGCTGTAGATTCTAGCTGAAGCTCGGACCTTGAGATTTGGGTCATTCTGGATAGCCCGAATGGCTAGGATCAATTGGCTCTCTTGGGTTCCTGACTCCATTGTTTGTAGTAGAGAAAAGCGCGTTTGAATGGGGAAAGTCGCGTAGTCGCGGTCCCGTGCGCCACTCGCTTGTTTGCGCCACTCGCTTATCATGTACGTTAGCCCGCAGCTAAAACTGCCCATCTAAGGCTGCATCTGGTTGCCTTCCTGCAGTTCGCCTGCACATACAACGTTCGCTACTTGCTCCCGTCTCTGGTCTGCCACTCAGGTCTTGAGGATGTCCGCCTATTTCTCACTCTCAATGGAGACGTTTGGTCAGCAGAGCCCAGCGCCACCCCCAGACACGGTACCTATTGATTCGTCCTCATCGAGAACTGCGTCTCTTCTCGTCACAGCCCCGCCACCTTCTCTAGCCACTGAGGATTATGGCTCGGACTTCAGCACCGGGGAAGAGACCGTGGTTGGGGAAGATCGATTTACCAAGAATACCCCAGCGGCAGTCGTTGATACCATTGGCTGCTCGTTCAAGTCGAGAGGTACGTTGCAAGATCCATTTCGCGTCTGTAATTTTGCCTCAGTCAGCCTTGTTATCTTTGGCTGGTCAATGTCTGACGTTTATCTGTGTGCCAGTTCTTTCAACCCTAACGTCGATGTGCTGCTTTTATCCACAAAACGATGCCGACGATGAGCCCTATTTTCAGTGCCAGGGACGGACAACTCCTCCACAGTGGAAGCTCGACGATCTTGCCTCGGCACACGGGTCCAGTCATGGATTCCCGAATCAATGGTCAGGCCCTTCGGAGACAACGATCTCATCGTCTACTCCAAGGCCCGATTCAGGAATCTATCTGACTGCAAGAGAGGACTCATCATCGCAAGTGAGCATCACTTCCGCGGCCACGGCTCCGTCCTTTGTGAAAGAAAGCCGCACAATCGAGCATATGAAGTTTTTGGTTTACAAGGACAGCATGTATGCCATGACGTGTTCTGCATTGCACAGATCAGTACTTATGCCACAACAGGTTCCGCATTGACGAAGAAGCGAAAGGAAACGAGACAACGATGTTGGTTTATTGAAGAGCCCATGCTTTGACTGAGGCCTACCATCATCACAGGCATCTCTTCCTCACGGACATGGACGAGGAAAGACTCTTGCCCGTGGAGGCCACTAATGTCAAGAACATACTGGACGTTGGTACCGGCACGGGTGACTGGGCGCTGTGAGGTCCTCTTCCCTCTTCTAAGTGCTCCGTACTGACTTTGGTAGGGACGTGGCTGATGCCAACCCCACAGCAACAGTCATTGGCACAGATGTAGCGCCCATCCAACGTACCAGGCAACCCAGCAACGCAATATTCTATGTCGATGACGCCAATGAACCTGATTGGGCCTGGGATGGTCGTTTCGACTTTGTCCATGTGCGAGGTCTGAATGGCGGGATCAAGAGTTGGACAGCGACACTTCGGGCAGCAGCCTCTTGCTTGCATGTTGGAGGATTAATTGAGATTTCCGACATGGTCTGGCGTCCATCAAGCCCTCCGATTCCTGGCAGCGTTTGGTTTGACTGGGACAAGATGTTCAAAGTCCTTACGGATGCCAACGGTCTCGACGTTGACTTGTACGAGAATAACCGTGCCCAGGGTGAGCTAGAGAAGCTTGGCCTAGAGTTTCTGTTTTATTCCAGCCGCAAGCATTCGGTCGGATACAAAACACACATTTACGATGATCGCAGCGTTCTCGTTTGCGCTGTTGAGCAGATGAAAGGAGTCTTGGCCCTGGCCATGGAGGTTGTGCCTTGGTATGCGAACCTAGGCGCCCTGATGCACCGATTGGAGACGGAAATCTTCGACAAGGGGATCGTAATCGAAGTGTAAGTCTGGAACTCCTCCGAATATCGCAGATTGAACCTGTATGTCTGACCTGGCAGATGATAGACTCAAAGTCGTTGCCCGAAAGCCTGCTGTGCAGTGATTTAGGCTAATCGAAGGAGACTGACGATGGTCTCGCGTTCTAGTAATGGCATGCGTGTCTTCTTTATTGTATTTAATACAATCTGTACCATAAACTGCATTATACTGAAAGGTCAGCTGAGCCAGCTGGTGCGCGCACCAAGAGTCTGAAGCCTTCGGTTGGGCACAGCCCTTTGCTCAAGCTCGGGACGAGAACCTTGCTTTCATGTATAATTACCTTGATAAGAGTTCAAGATACCTATTCGGGCGAACCTCTCGATGAAGGTGGCAAAGCAGTGTTGGGATTGCGTGGCAGCTGCTGCCATCTTTAAATTTTCCTTGGAGCGGCGATTGAAGAACCCCCAGTAATCCGCTTTCTTTTCATGCCACTGGTGGGTCATGGTGTCGCCACGGACTCGACTGCAGAGAGGGCCTCAACATCAAAAGCCCATTTTCCCGGTGTGGCACCTTCGGTTGCAGATCTTCCGTCTAAGTGAATGGTGTATCATTCCAGGATGATAAGTCTGCCGTGTGATCCACTGTCATCTATAAGATCAAGGTCCTGCCGTCGACTTCAGGGAAAACACATCCCCTCAACATGGATGCGTGTTCCATCGTGCCAAAGAACGCCAATCGAAAATATGCCTCCCAACCACTTGTACGACTACGTCATTCTCAGCGATGATGCCTTTCTCTTGTGTTCCACGTTCATGATGCCTTCTCCACGCTCCGGGAACTATTTCCCACCCCCGCATGACCTGCATCACTGGATTGACAGCAAAGTCTGCGCAAAAGAGGATGTTGCGTCTTTTCGAGCTGAGATCATCCATGGTGGTAAGAAAATCAAGACGTGCGTTGCTTCATCTATGCAAGCGGTCATGGAAGGAAGGACGCTGACAAGACACAGGTCTGTAAGAATCTGGACGACGGTTGAGGAGTGTGTTGCGACAAAAAACATCTTCGCGTGGCAGCCAACATTATGGCGAATTGGGCCATGGGCGAATTCTTGGCGCAGGAAGGCGCCAGTGTTTTCCAAGGATTAACATCACAGGACTATGTCATAAATTCAGGACTTTATCCGACTACGGGAAATTTCACGAGGCTCTCCGCAAACCCACATCTAATTCCGGAGGATACCCTCCCAGCACTAGGCGTCAAGACGCCTGACGGTCGCACAGTGGGGTTTTTTGCACTGGTGAGCTACCCGTTGGTTTTGGATCCGGCGGAAGGTGCGCACACGGGGAGTGCAAAGCCCGCGATGCACGGCGCATAAGTTGTGTTGAGGATGGGGTGGCTGATGACGGGCTCGAAGTCCCGCGTTCTGGTTCCATCACCTGTGTTTCCTTAAGCTATATCTGATAGAAAAGCGAAAATATGAATTCACCAGATGCCTTCTTGGGCCTGTTGATATGCGACGCGCGAGTTGAGACTGCCCTTCGGTAAGGCCTCGGCATGCATGTCATTCGAGAGTATGGGCCTATGCTTTTCCAGACTTTTGTAATACGTCGTCATATGCAGTAAGGTTCTCAGTGCCGCAGAGCTCGTATGGTCTCGCTGAAAGATACCGAGAACTGCATTGAAGTTCGGCGACTTTCACTGGTCACCATCTCATGTAGGCACCAGCGGCAGGGAATACCCTCGACATGCAAGCGGTGTAGGTGAACCGCCATCCAAACCAGATACCGGCGAGAGTTCAAGCAGGGGAAGGGAATGGGCTGGGCTATAAATGCCTGTACTTCCCCCATCGGAGGTGATTGACCTCTGTCTCCCTCAACCAAGATCTATCTCATCGGAATACTGCTCAAAATCAAAGACAATGACCATCAAGCTGAACGAACCGCCCGAAGATGCCTCCAAATGGGTTTGCTGTCAGGTAAGTTCTATACTCATGCTGAACCAATCACGTCTCATGATATCGCAGAACTGTCTGCCCGGAAACGAGCTGGAGAAAAAGATTTGCAAGCAATGCGAACACAATCAATGTCACGAGTGTTACTGGGTGGATGAGAACGCAGTTTGGGTTGCGAGATGTGGAAAAGATCTGGATGAAAATGGAAAGGAGGTTGAGGGCTGGATATCAGAAGACGATGGAGACTACAGATGAGGCGGCGACAGTCAAACAAAAGCATGATACTGTAGATTTCGATTGTTGAGAGAATATGAGGATACCCTGCGTGTCATTCCTGTTAAGCTGCGGGGATTGAAGGATCCTACACCGACGAAACCCCTTGTGTAGGGTCACGCTTTGGACTGGGCATGACCACAGAAGAATTTTCGAGTAAGGGCGGGATACTGTGAAGCGTGTACCTGCCAGGATGCATCAGACCGCATGAGGCATGAGATCAAGGGCGGAGCCACCCCGAATCTGCTGGGCTACTCTAAAGACAGATCTGTGCGTAGGCAAAAAGTAGGACATAAGAGAGGCCAGAGAGGCCACGAAGACGCAGAGATCATCAACGACTTGACGTCTACTCATACACCCACCCACTGCAGACTACAGATTGCCCGTTCTTCACTCGTTGCTTGCCGAAACAAGTGTGATAGTACCGTAGTCATTGGTTGCTCATTCATCTGACTTTCGATCCCAGAGTATTTATTAGTTCCTTGAAAGCCACTCCCACCCACTGACACAGGCTCCCAGCATTTACTCAAGTCAAGGCACTCAAAAGGCCCGCCAACCTGCTCCCTCTTGTTTGTCTTGTCCTTGCACTGCTATATCAGGCATCGAAAAGATGGAAAGGCACGGACGGGCTGGGGAGGCATCCGAACCTGAATCCCACCCCATAAAGGAGAGCCGGGATACGTCGAACTCAACGTCTTCTAAGAACATCCTAGGAAACGAAATCACCGCAATCGGCTTGTCACAGGTTGAAGAAGTCCCCAACAGCGGTGTTTTGCGGGTGGGTAGAGGTGACACCTGTACAGTGTACCAAGTCGGACGACAGGTCGGTTTGGGGACCTTCAGTGCTGTTTACGAAGGCCTCAGACTCTTGGACCACAAGCAAGTGGCCATCAAATTCGTAAGTGAAGCTCTGCCGCGCACCCCGATGACTAGAGACATTCAGCTTATATAGCTACAGGAAGTCGGCAATTCCTCTTTCTCTCAGCTTCAGGCGGAATCCCGGACCTATAAAAGCCTCAAAGGATGGAGTAAGGCCCTTTTCTCAAACCTGAACCCACCGAATGGCTCACAGTTGCCAACAGATAGAGCTCCCGACGTAGTCTTCTTCGGGGACCACGGGCGGAGTAGACTTCTGGTCATGGACTTACTCGGACCTTCTCTGGAAGATTTGCTCGATTATTGCGGACGAAGGTTTACAATTGAGACCGTCGTTATGATTGGCGTACAGCTAGTACACAAAAGCACCTGAAAGTTCTGTCGAACCCAGCTGACTTTTCGTTAGATCACGATACTGGAAGAATTGCACGACAGGGACTTCATACATCGGGACATCAAAGCAGAGAACTTTGTGATCCAAGGCGGGACAGAGAGGCCTAATTTCGCGCGAGCAATCGACTTTGCCACGGCGAAAAGTACCGAAGCGGCAACCCCCCAAGGCACATTATGTATCGCGAGGGAAGCCAATTCATTGGAACGGCACGATACGCCAGCATCAACACGCATATGGGATGCGAACAGTCAAGGCGAGATGACCTCGAGGCTCTTTGGTATATGCTACTCTACTTCATCAGAGGAAAGCTGCCATGGCAATGTGCCACACCAACTCCCAGAGCAGAGAAGCACGAGAGAATTCGCGAAGCCAAGCAGACGACAACGATCGAAGATTTATGTGAGGGACGCTCTGAGCTGTGTGCAGGCCTCCGATAAATTCGCCGCCTGGGCTTTGAAGAGGATCCTGACTACAACTACCTCCGCAAGCTTTTACAGGCTTTGGAGGGGGGGATTGGAGATGTTGAAAACGGTCAATACGACTGGGACAAGCTACCTTCGCCGGTTAGGCTAGCCGCACAATCACTGAATCTTCCACCGCCAACCCAGACCCCAAAGGCAGCAGTCCCTTCCACAAGCTTTCACAGAGGACATAGTACTAACAAACGAGACACTCTCAAAGCCATTGTCAGAGTAACTGGAACCTGGCTGGACCAACCGTTGTTCACTGCGAAGAGTAAACAACCGAGCGAAGGTGTCATAATGTACAACGCAAAAGCCCAGGTAGTTCTTGAGGATATCGGCAAGTTTTCGAAAGACTGCGTTTGGAGACTTCAGCAATCTCACAGGAATGCGGTTAGAATCAGGGCGCTACTGAGCGATGATGTTGCAGACATTGTTGACATTCCAGCCACCGACCGAGTCGAAAAGGCTGTGGGTTCATTATTGGGTCTTTCATATCAAGTGTCAGGGGACATTCTAGTCAAAGGACACAGTGAGAAGACATCGGTATTGAGGGAGGCCTTAAAGGAGGTGAAAATCTTGGCACAGTGCGAGCTGGAGGACTTATCCTCCCCCGAAATCCGAGAGGGAGACCGGCCCATCACGCCAGAGGACCACCACTGGCTCTGAACGCGGTTTGCCACTTCTCAGCGCTGAATCATTGCACAGGCTGGCCAACTACTTATCGTACGAAGACCTATGGCCAAAAGATGACACGGGATCCGCGTCGCGGAACATCAAGACAAGGCCGTGGCTGAATCCGACGTGGCACGAATTGAAGAGCGACGACATTTGGCCAGATAGGTTCCTGAAACATCATACATAACATATGTTCGCTATTCAACCAGTATTTTAATCCTCTCAAGGTGAAGTGCTTTTACTTATCTTGATTATCAGGATGATGTATTCGGAGCAGGACTGTATGGTAAAAAGCACCGCCCTGTTCCGTGCGTCCTCTTTGGTGGAGCGACACTGCTCAGTCTACGTTGGGCTTCGACCTCTCCTCGGGGAATTCATGCGTCCCGCTTCGCCGAGCCAAGGCCTTGATTCGTCGGCCAAGTAGACGATACATGTCTGTCATGCGGCCAACAGTTGTCGCCATGATATGAAAACTCTATTGTGATACGTCACCACCTGAATGGATTGTTAAAACTCAGTGTAGGATCAGTGGAAAGCATGGGCAGTCAAAACAGTTCACAGGATACACGGTCAGAGATTGTTATAAGTAGATGACCATGCCGCTTCCAGTTTCTACCTCCATCTTGATCACAGGCACAATATCAAGCATCTTTGAAAACGACATCTCTTTACAGTCAAGAAGATGGCTTTCACCATGGCACTCAGCAAAGTTGACTGGGACGAATGTGACGAACTCCTGGATGAGTCTGGCATTCTCAGAACAAGTATGGATTATACCAGCCTCTTCTTTAGCGAGACGTACGGCTACTGTAAGTCTGCTTCCTGTGCTTTTTGTCACGATTTATTAACATCGTCAGTTCTTAATCTTTCGGAAAACCAAGACGGATTGTACTGTACCGACGACGAGGACGAAAAGCATTATTTCGAACTTTGGACGACGCTTCTGCCCATTATTCCTAAAGCACACAAAGAGTTGAGGCAGATTTTCGAGCCTCTTTGCAAAGATGGGTTGGAGGGATTAAAAAAGGGGAACCCAAACTTTAGCAGTCTTTGTACTTTCGTGGAACAAATGATCTCGGCCAAGGACAAATATGTCAAGAACGAGCTTCAGTAACAGGTTTCCTAGATGTAGTGAATACCTCTTAGTTGTTTCTTCGGGAGGGTAGAGATTGAAAATAAACAAGGGAATGTTCGAGGGATATGAAAAACGAGTATCTACACTACCGTATCGTTTGTTGAACATGGCCCTGACCCGCAGCGATGCCGCGTAAACACCATTAAAGCTGGTTGTCTTCTGTCCGGGGTGTGGGCGGTGGACGATCAACTCTCCAATTTCTCTGGCTTTTGATGAGTGTGCGCAATTGAATCATCGTATGTCTGTTGTGGAATGCCGCAGCAAGCTTCAAACTATCAGCTGTCGGGCCCTAACCCCAAGTCGAAGCGGGGAATGCCGTAGCGTCCATCGAACCTGGTTTCCATATCTTCCAATGCCGAAGATGCCCTGGATTTAAATCGAGAGACCTTCGGTGCTCTGCTGCAGGGAGAGTGAGCTCTGGGCCGCTTTGAAGGTAGTTTGGTTCGCTCTCCTCGCTTGTGCTTAGATTGATTGTCCAGAGAGGCCGCGACACCAGTGCTAGCTTCGGGAGGATCGACCTCACAGGGATTTCGAGGTGCGGGAGATTTTGCCTTTCCATCTGCTCAATGGACAAGACAAACTGCCGTTGAGTGCCCAATGGGGAGGACCGGCTCTATCCGGAGGCCTGGGTTCTCCGAGACATGCTTGATTGGGAGCGGATCGGAGGCAGACAAAAGACACTCGAATCCAAAAAGCAGAGAGTGGGGGGTAACTGTTGGATGGTGCAAGCGCCTCGGTATCATGGGCCAGAACTTATGGCCCCCCCGATACACCGATATACTTTGGCGGAGGATCTGGGATCGAAACCCGGCAGAACGAACAGAGAACATAACCAGAATGAAGACACAAAAGATCCCGCTTGTTACACCGGGGAGGCCTTAGGAGAATAGTGATTGCGCGCTGTTTCAACAGTTTCAGGGGGTCTGTCGATATTGCCGTTACTATCACCGACTGCCTCGCGGCTCAGGAAGGTAGGGCAAACGTGCCTCGGACAGCACAGCTTGTTGGCAGAGACGTCGAAGAACGAGGTAGAGTAATGGTTGCCGCGGGGTGTAGCGTTGGCATTGCCAGAAGCGTTCTGAAAGTACAAAGTCGAGCGTACCTTAGAGTTGGGCATCGCTACCGTAGAATTCAATCATGAGGTTCTTAAACCGGCCGTGGCACGCTACGTGAGTATCCAGATCTTCCCATTATGATAGTCTGTGGTGTAAGTAAAGGATGGATGAACCCAGGATTGCTGATTCAGGAGAGGCTTAGGTATAACCCTTGCAAGTAAAGACTTCCTCTCCTGAATATCTCGGGCAACAAGATCGATGACTATTACGAGCCCTGCTACGGGTCTGGGTCGGTCCATGCGGACTTACGGGTTCACATGCCCCGGCAAAGCAGGCGGAACTCCGTACATGACGTGGAAGCGCTAATTGGAGGTGCAAACTAGACAAACTCGGACTAGGGTAGCACAACAGGCAATCAGTCCTCAACAGAAAACGGATGATGATGTGAAGGCGAGCTTCGGACGGCATCTCGAGTAATGAAACTGGTACATTTCTTAGAAGTGAATTAAAATGACTCGGTAAGCACGTAACAAAGTATTGTCCCCCGTGACTGTTTACGCCTGCTCACAGTCAGTTGCATCTTCATCTTGCGCCATTGACGGTATGGTCGCCAGGTCTCGTGCAGGTCTCCTTTACTCTCCTACAAGCAATGGACTGGACCTCCTGTCCGGGATGGTCAGACAGTGACTAGGTGAAGCTGAAGGGGAGTGCGAAGAACAGCTGATGATTGGTCAATAGCCTCAACGGGCCTTGGGGGCTTCAACGTGGAGGCACGCAACTGTCCTTGGGGGTCCCCTGTCACTGAACCCCACAATATCGAGGCACGCCATTCACAACATCGGTTGGCATGTCGTGCCGTGCTGGACTAGATCTATTTCTAGTAATTTGTGTCCTGGTATGGCCGTTCTCGGGTAGAACTCCCGTCGCCAGCAACCGGTACCGAGCCTTGGCAGGCTCTGCTCTGACGAGTACCCTTAGCCGACGGAATGCATGCGATGTGACATTAGGCACAGGGCCGGCCAGATCCAAATGCGATGATGCAAGGAAGAAGTGGTTGAGGCTTAGGACTAGCCAATTGCGGGCGGTGAACAGATGTAGCCGCGGGGGCTGGACCTCCTTGGCGTACTTGCGGCCAATGGTGCCTAATCCTTCTCGTCGTCCCCTATTAGCACCGTATCCGGTTGTGTTCGAATTTGCGATATCAGAGTGACAAAAATGTGACGCTAGGGAATACTGCATGGTCCATCGCAGAGCAGAGGATAGCTATAGAATGAAACGCATAAGGATTCAGCGTAGCAATCGGTCCCCTTCCCATGCACCTTTGCCTCAAGGTTGAGCTGAGGGCGATTCTCCTCAGCGGGATGATGTAGGTGGGAGAATCAAGTGCATGTTCAGGGTGCTCCCAGGTCACGAAACCAAGGGCAACCCTTTGGGCACACGCCATATTATCAGCCATCGGCTGTCCACGACATCACCACGGAGCTTGTATCAAGTCCTGGGTCACTTCTATGCCGTGCATTTGATTTGGGTCACTCAAGGCCGGCTAAGGGTCCGATACGGCAAGCTGCTGAGCATTCTCTGCGCGGCAGCTCACGTGAAGGCCATCCGACAAGACGTTGCGCGACCGGCTCAACATTGAATGGCCTGGCTAACAATAGACCCTTGCAGGGAGCTCGACAGTGATTGGCCAGATTCGTTCATGCTGCCCGGAGCTCTTCCGCCTGTCGCGGACCAATCCATGCAAGCTGTTCTGTCTCACTCGTTGATTGCTAGCTTTGGGGGCATTCACTGGGTTGAGATATTAGTCAAAAGTCAATATAAATCCAGTGACTGAGTACTTCTGTTGCTACTTTGGCTGCGTTGAAATTTGTCTCCCATAAGAGCGCAAAGCAAGTCTAAGGAAGCTGAAACGTCGCTGCTGGTGCTTCAGCCATGTTGTAGCGGGGCGTGAAGAGTTCTTTTCTATGATGGGCCATAGATAGATGGGCTACCCCCAGGGCCCCCTGACTCTAAGTATTTCAGAGGGCCTGTAATTGCTGCGCCTCTAGTATTGTGTCACTTTGATGTGATAATTACGTGTTAGAGCCACGTGATTGAGATGCCCCGCTGATACTATGAACACGCTCGCTGTGACCCCCGTCATCAATTCACTTTTGCACCTTGTCTAATACATGCCTCTTCTTTGTAGGATATGTCCATGGATACCAAGTCCTCTACCGTACCGTACAGGGGAAACGGGCCTCGAAGTACTTGCGCAGGATCAATGGCCCTTCCTACGTTGGCACCATCTAGGCTCAGGCGCATTCATTCCATGCCTGCTCCTCCCCACGTCGCCGGCCTCCTCAACTACGAATCGCCGCCAAAGAGACTGGTACCACCTCGGCGGCGAGCTCAAGCCATCAAGGCTGCGTGCGAGGCTTGTAGGAAGCGAAAGATCAAGGTAAGTATTAAACCACCATATTAAATCCTAGTATAAAGGTAGGTAAGTCTACTAAGTTACCGTAATATTTGTATGCGGATTCTCAATGCTTCCTTCAGGCCCTGGGTAGCGCACCAACGGGCAGCTGAGATTGATCAACATCGAGCAACCAAGCCAGAGGGGCCAGCTGCTGCGTGAGACAAGGTAGGCTGGGATACGGGTAACCCGAATTAACTTGACATCTGGTCGTGTAATCGCGTCAGGGGGTCCGCGACAGCCGCAGTCAGCTCTCATTACCCCTGTTCTTCAGAATTGGGGAAAGTGGGGGGGTAAATCGGGCTTGTTACCCCCCCACTTCTCTGCTTGATTGCTCTGGGAGTCTTCTGTCCGCCCCGACCCCTCCCAACTAAGCAGATGTCTACGACGAATCGTCTCGATGTTTGAAGAGGTTCAGCAGCACATCACCGCCGCGGAGGTAAATGAAGCGTCAGATCTCAAGAGGATCGGGCAGCAGCGACTCCGCGATATCTCCGGTACAGTCCCTACATGCTTTACCTTCAACGTACCACTGTCTTCACCAGAGTACGACGCCTCAGTAACGATTGAGGTCAAACCAATCGTTCGTGAGAACTCTCTTCATCCTTTGTACGATATCTTGATCCACTGCGAAGCAAGTTCTTCTAGTGATCATGTCGATGAACTCGCCAAGAAAGTCCAAGAAGTTTACGACACCTACATTCAAGCTGTCCGGTGGAAATTTGACCGGCATTGGTATGTACATCATTGGCAACGAGTTCGAAGCTGACCCGTGAAAGCTTCGAGGCAAATCCAAGTCGTCGACGGTGCACAGAATGCCCGTCCCTGGCGTCGGAGGGCAGTACGATGCGTCAAACATTGCAACAGGAGCCCGTCTGCTCTCCTGGTTCCCAGAGCACCGAACCTACGCAGTTCTCCTCGCTTACGCCATTGCTCGTACCTACAACCCCATCAACCAGCGGAAAACGAGGCCCACCCTCCATTGTAGCTGAGGATTCGAGACCCGTCAAACGACCAAAGGCAAGGCAGACGGTCGATGAAGTCAGCCGCGGCCTAATCTCTACGATTTCTAAAGGCTTGAAGATGGTTCAGAAGAAAGACATGTTTGCCTTTGACCAATCGAATATGCAGCACATCTTTTCCAAGTGCTTGCAAGCAAATTTGTCCGGTCTTCTGCTCGACAAGTTCCTGCTCACGCTCGCCAGCGAGTTCAGGAAAAGAATGAGACACAGCAAACATGGAGCCAGACTCGCGATGTGGTCTGATTGGTACTTCTCTGCTTGCCTACAATACGCCCGCTGCCGGACAGGCATCAAGGAGAGGAACCACGACCAAGATCGTTCATCCAATGCGGTTTATGTGCTTCATTCCATCGTTAACAATCTGTTGTTCTCTGATGGCATAAGTGCTCTCTCCGTGATTGCTGCCGTTGCAGGTGAGTTGATCGCGCCTTCGCCAAATCGTTACTAAACTGTCTCAGCATGTGGGCAAGTTCTGTCGGCAGCAGCACATAGAACTGCCCAAGAACAGGAGTTGATCATTGAAACCGTGACAGAAGCGCTACGGCGGCGCCTCCACCATCCAGAATGGTACGCGGTCCCTGTCCCGATGGTTTGGATATCTGCGAATGGCCTGGTCTGCGATGGAAGTTTCTGGGCATCTTGCGTTGCCTGAAGCTCCAGGACTGCGAAATTCGGCAAGCCTAAAGTTTGACATGCATCCACGGTACTGGTGCTCGAGTGAGTGGAGGACTGCGGAATTGAAAAGGTCCACTTACCTAATTTTCATAATCAAGGACCTCCAAAAGCGTTGGGCAGCTTTCGAAGTTGAAAGAGCGCCACATCTCAATCTGCTACGCCGCTTACTGTGTTCAATCGAGCATCTTGACGTCGGCTCGGACGCCCGGCTTTCGCAATTGCACAACGCGATCGGTTGTATTGAGACAGGCAATTTGGATCAGGCATTGGAATTTCTGACACTGGATGCGCTACACTCCCAGGGGGCCTCACGCCTTACAGGGGTCGGATCATTGACAGCCACAGAGAAGACCACCATGATTAGGAGGTCAATTTCCCTACTCTCATCTCGGTTTTCAGAGCTTGTGCGCGACTGGCTAGGTGCAAAACACGTGGTCATCACCGAGAATCCTAGGGATATGGCGGAATGTGGCTGGGGAAGGGATCCAAGCTGGTCTGCTCAGATGTTTCTGACTGACGTCTCGGACCTGATCGTTTCTGGGGACAGTATAACCTTTGAATCTTTCTTAGATAATCTATGACTTGGGAATACCTCACCCATCTCCTGCTTCATGTGCATCGTGCTTGTGCCCAAACAAAACCATACATATGCCTTCACTTTCAGGGCGTACAAAGAGCTCCTCGTGTTCGTCGAGTTGCAATACGCTGCCGATTTCGAATTTGATCGGCAACGGCTTGGTTCCCTGTCCTTCGCCTACAGCAGCTGTTGCACCTCCAAACTCTTTCTCTGCCCAGTCGATTATCGTTCCCCTCACCCCTACCTTCCGCATATCTGATATCAGCGTTTGTTTGGTTTCGGGGCTCTCATGAGATGGTGTTGCAGTCTGCGCCCCAGAGGGAGTCGGGACGGCCAAGCATATCAATGTGGTCTTGTCCACGTTATTCCTAAGGTGATCATCTCTGATCCAAATAACCTCAGGGCCCACAGTCATGAGCTTTCCCTCTATGCGTATTGCTCGGGACGCCGCTCTCTTATCAACATTCGGCAACTGTGTCATAAGTAAGCACAATGTGGCATGCATCTATACCGGTGTGGTGTACCTGTTCGACAACGTAGTGTCGTAGGAGATTCTTAGCTTCAGTGGTCTTCGTGCCATTAGGAAAACACCAAAAGTCCTTTGCGTTGATATTTCGAATGAATTTGTCAACGGGGAAAAGGGCCTGTGTAGCCAGCCGTCTGGACTCCTGCGTAGGCGGAATGATGAACATCTTGGCGATTGCGATAGTCTATGTGCGCGAAAGAAGAAGCATGTTCCGTGGGAATCACCGGCATTTATAACCAAACAATACTGCAAAGTATGGTTATGGGGCTTTCATATTGCCCCCAAACTCGAAAAGAACGATCTGGGTGAATCCAGCTGACAGACAATGGAGGACTTTATTTCGGTCACACGACTGGTATCCCCACTTCACTGGTCACGTGCCTCAAACACCCAAATCCATGGGTGCTAAACCCTGTGTTCTTGCGCCCGGAGAATAGCCGGTGATGCCGGAGTGTTGATGGCATGTTCGTGCTTGGTCTCTCTTAACTCGGTCATTAGTGAGCAATCCTACCCAGGCTACCTATCTTACTGACCTTACGACTCATCGCCAGTCCACTGGCTGACTTCAATTGGATCATGAGGGGGAAGGAGTACGCTGACTCTAGTTTCGTTCCCACTGGTGGTTGTAGCCGGAGCTGGAGGCGGAGGTGGAGCTGGGCGTTCAGTTTTGTCTCCGTTGCGAGGATCCGATTGTTTGTCCATATTAGCTGGAATGAGTAGTGTCCTCGTGTACAATCGTCAGTATGCTTCTCGTTGCACTCCAGGATAGGATCTGAAGATTTCGAGAGGGAATCGAGCCTGTTCTTATACCTGTCAACCGGGGGAGAAGAACACCATGGCAGGGGTCGAACATAAGTCTCCTTGCCGGATTCCTGCCACGGTCTTTGGGGCTCGCTGTCGTCCCGTCACAAACGATCACAATAATTGACCAGTAAAACGATGTGAGTATGTCAAAATCACACTCTGCAGCTCATTTGGGACCAATCTAAACACCTGAATGAGCATGTTGGCCGCGATTTGTTTTGACAGCGCAAACCTGCAGGTTCTCTTCAAGCGGACTGCAACGATCACCATGATTCGGTTCAGGGGTAAGCAACCATAGATGGATCAGCCACCTCTCCCTCTACGAACCAACCTAGCTAGACTGGTTTGGCCTGCATATGCATCAGGTCGACGCTGGAATCGAGTGACCCATCGAGTCCCCAACGCGGTCCAACATCATCGTAACACATCATTGTACCAACGTCAGTGGATAAGGACTCGGCTGAACCGCACCAGTAAAGATCTACACCTCCTGATGGGTGGCCGGACATGTTGGCCGCCGAAATATTGGCTTTCTGCAACTACCGAATATGATATCGTCAAGGGCATGTCGACAGAACGCCATCAGCGTGACGGAAGCCCATCCTGTAGCCCGTGTGGAGCCAACCTGTAACTACTTGAGGCTCCCGTATGTAGTTACAAGGCCATCCGGATTGTTCAGGACAGCTACATGGTAAAAATGTATCAACTCGATGGCGTAGATGCCGTGATGATTGGGACGCTCATGTTGAATCGCATCCATGTCAACCGCGACCGTTCCCGACAGCGTTCGCCTGCAGCTAGTGTGATTAGATAAATCGCCTAGACTACTCTAGGGCTTGAATTTTGCTGAGCGAGTCACTCGACATATGAAAGCCAAGAATACAGCCCAGGATCTTGCGTGAGCTGAGGCATGCCCCCTTTTCTTATCCCTTCACTGGCTGGGCCAAGTGCGGCCAGGAGGCCAAGGCCAAGAGGGTGGTGTGTAGCTGACACACAGTACGTTAGCTCAAGGTTAGGATGGCCTAGCCGCAATTATCTTCCTCGACTGACTCCTGAAATAGCTGACATTGAGATACGCGATGGTACTACCACCATGGTCACCCTTGACTTCTATGAAAGTCCAACCCAGACCACATCGATGTTCTCTTTAGTCCCTGGAGATGACTATTAAGCTACGTATGTGCTCACTCATCCCTCCTAAGGCGACCTATGCTGCTATAACATAAGGCTGGTCTCAGTCCGTCTTATTTCGTAGGGTAGGCTTGAACGCGATGTTCTTACACGTCACGATGGAATCTCGACAAGTCCTCACACCAGCTAGCCTACGGCTGCAGCCAAGCCTTCGAGAACCAGGATTTGTTCCACTTTTGATTCCTGGCGCAAGCCATCCCCGGAGAGTTTGTGATATTGCTACGCTTTTCCCACCAAGTGAAATAGCGATGAGAGCATACCTGACATATTTTCCGACCTACCCTCTAACCTGCCCTCTAACCTGCTCTCCAATCTGCTCTCTAACATGCCCCCTAACCTGGCCCCTAACCTGCCCCGTAGTCTGCCCCCTAATCTGCCCCGTAGTCTGCCCCCTAATCTGCCCCGTAGTCTGCCCCCTAACCTGCCCCGTAGTCTGCCCCCTAACCTGCCCCGTAGTCTGCCCCCTAACATGCACCGTAATCTGCTCCCTAACCTGCCCCCTAACCTGCCCTCTGACCTAGCATGCCTTCCCAAGCCAGCATGAAAGGCCACCCACCCCTCATGACGTAACGTCTAGGTGGCCGTGAGATGTGGATCTCCGTGAATCCCAACTTTCGGGCAATTTCTGCCCAATTCCGCACCAGTAACCACTCTGACTCCCATACTTTGACGCCCGGCATTTCTTCGCGGCGTCGACTTGTCGATAGAGCGAACTCTCTGTTGAAGTTTTCAGATTCTGCGCTATGCCGAGGGTTCATCAAACTGCACTGCCGCTCCAACGCACTGGACCAAGCCAGACGACAAGTACAAATAGGCATTTACGATACTTGTGTAATCACCCGTCGCATCTCGATAGGCCGCACGCCGTCTGGCAAAATCAATAGGTGTTGACCAGAACAGATGGTTCGTCGTCACCCTTCATTCAAGACTAATCTAACATTCCCTAGTCCTTCATCATCCAGTCTCTCAGCAAAGATGCGGACTTTTTTAAAGACGCCAAGACGTCTCCCACAACGGTCGATGGATCAGGTCAGACGGTATACTGGCAAAACTGCTCCGTCTTGGTTTTTGAGAAGGGCAACCTAACGGATCGGAAGGGAATATGCGACGGAGAAGGAGAAGTGCGGAAGGGCCTCACGGTATGGTTTGGCGGTGGTGGGAAAGTGAAAGAAGAATAACGGGGGTTTATACTGTGGAACAAACATCATATCAGAGAAAGAGCTTGTCTTTGATTTGGGTTCCTTCCAACAGCCCCAGAGATACATATATGACTGCCCCGTTGCGGGCCTGATGCGAAACCACCATCGACACAGAGGATGTCCGTTTCATCGCTTGCTTGACATCATCTTGATGCGCAGGACTCGCTGTGATCGCACGATCAGTTTCAGATCCAAAAATATGAGGAACGACTTCGAAGCAGCCCCCTTGCAGCGTAATGCTGGGATGGGGCAGTACTTTCGTACCGCCAGGCAGAAGGACGTATCGAAGTCCTTCCGTCGTTTCCAGGCGCACATCGAACAACTTTTGGGCAATCCATTCCACTTTATTCTCCAGGATCTCAATTGCCATCTGGCATCCAAATTTATCCGTATATGGAGCTCTCGGAAACGTCATTGAGATGCCAGCTACCAAGCCATTCTCATTGATTGGATTTGGAATTCTCTTGATCGAGTCGGATAGGGATGTCGGAAAGAGGCGTGTGGCCCCTTTAAGAGACGCGTTGACGAGTACATGCTTACTCTCGGCGAGGTAGTTGAGGGGGTCGTCTGGATGTAGGTCCAGCTCTTGGGGACTGCAATCGAGATTCGTCAGGTGGAAGGCCGGATCGCCTGGCAGGAATGTCGGACTAGGTGTGATGGGACGTCCGATTCGGTCGTCATTGTTATCTGCTGTCCCTAGCCCATGTTAGGAATGTGGTATAATGTTGGGCAGACTACTCACGAGGCCTCTTGTTTGATTTTTGGGACATGCTCTTCGTCTGACATTCGATCCTCGTTCTGCGCACTTGCTCGACCTTTGCCGCAACAACAGGGTTGATTTTGCAAGTAACTGTCGTTGCTAGCGACTTCAGGTATTCAACTGGTCGGTTCTCGAGGTCGGCGATCAGATCGCGAGTGGCAGCTTTCCCTGCAAAGCGAGAAGACTTTTCCACGTCACCCTTTGCTAGAAGGTATCCATACCAGACAGGGAATCCGCCTTCCTTCAACAAGACGCCTGGCACAGATTTGTCTGCAACGTGTTGTGCTTCCCTCCATGAATCCGCCAATCCTTTCGGACCACGATCAGAATCTTGAAGTTTGAGGAGAAACAATTCAACATGTTTTTGGAGCTGCGTGTCTGGGAGAGTTGGTGTCTGTGAATCACCATCCATGATCTCGGTGTTGGGGAGGCCGATTCGGAGGCAGGTTAGGAGTCGGGTTAGAAGTCGGGTTACGAGGCAGGTTAGGATGCAAGCATGTGGATTGAGGGATATTTATCAGCTGACAAGTGAATGCGGGGTCGGCCCAGTCTTTCATGACGCCATTGACTTGTCTGGGATTAGTCCATAGGTAAAGGGTGGAGGGCAAAGTGGAGTGAAGGGTGGAAACCGAACCACCATTCAACGTGCCCCACCCACTCATGCTGTACCAACTCGATCAAGACCTAGCTCGCTGTAGGCACGCCAAATGATAGCCACTGGCCCACCTCGACCGTGGACATCTCAAGCAAGTTGGATTGTACTTTTAGCTCACCAGCTGGCCAGCAACCAAGTATCTTCCGCAGGGACGCTAGTAAATGCTGCACTTCATGTGTGCCTGCGATGCATGACTTCTCCAATACAATGATCAGACTGAAGATGCTGACATTATAAAGGTGCCACAAGGTCAATAACGTACAGTGTACTGTGGCAAACTCCATTTACGTTTTCCTCGACGATCGTACCTCATCAACAGCTCCACTACCCTCACAATGTGCACCTTCGGAACTCGTGTGTTCACTTGCGGGCACTACAAGAAGGCGCTGGACTCTCCTTGTGGCGATGCTAAAACGGCGAAACAAGTCTGTGACTCGGGCAGTGAATATAGCTCCACAACGGGGGCGTGGTGTGATTTGCCTGGCTGCGATAAGAAGGCACAGGGGAAGCGTGAGGGCCCAGGTAAGTGCTGTGGCATGCGGTGGCCAGTACAGTGCTGATCAGCGTGAGTGTAGGCTCTCATTGGGACGGCGGCTTCAAGGCCTGGGATGTCGACTGGACGGCTTTTTAGATCTATCGTCGATGGTGCGGGACAGAGAGATTGGCAGCAATTTGAATCAGAGAAGCTGACGCAGTTTCATCCATCGCTTTGCTCGCGGCACTTTGGAGGAGTTGCGGCTGCCCGCCTTCCCGCTCCTGAGCCTCTGCCATCTTGGACAGAACCCTGCCGACCGCCCAAATGTCGTTCTCTTTCCGGGCTTGGAGGCTTGTCGAAAGGGGGTCTAATATTTGCTGCATTGTTGGTGATAGCCATTCACGTGTGACGCCCCCAGCTCCGCCGACGTCAATAAGGACCAGATCTTCATCCTTGTCAAGAACTACATTGGAGGGTTTGATATCCATGTGAGTGACGTTATGGAGATGAAGAGTGGCAGCTGCGGTGCAGAGCTGTGCACCCCATCGTTGCCAAGGTGCATCGACTTTCCCTGACTGCAAGACCCCGGCTAGTGTCCCGCTGGGATGATGCTCTAGGAGAATTCCTCGTAGGACAAGAGGGGCGCTCTGTCGAGGGTCGATTGTTGTCCTGTACGGGTTTCTCGAGACAACAGCGGCGACGAGTCGTACAATATTGCCCCTGCCACCAACTTCTTCGAGGACCTGCAGTTCCTTCTCCAGTGCTTGGCTATCTTGGACGATATATAATAATCGCTCGACTTGCTTCAGGATGAATGTTTGTTCTCCTTCGGTTTCGATTCTGGCAGTAAAGACTGCTAGGCTGATTTTGTCAATAGTGCGGACTTCAGACAAGTCAATCTGGCGCGTGCCTGTACCAGTGTAGGACGGATATCGGAATCGGGCCGGATCTTCTCGTGCGCTGACCCAGAATTTGTGCGACGATGTAGCTAATGGGTGATCGTTTGGGAGGGAGGAATAGACGAGTCTTGTGATTGTGTTGTTCCTGCTTGCACTGAGGTAAAGCTCTGTGACTGTGTCGTCTAACAGCGGCAAGGAACCGAAGTCAATAGCATGGCAAAGATCGATCATGGCCATTTTCCGTGCTGGCAATCCAGAAACGTTAATATGGCCATACTCGAGGACGATGCGGACATGCCAGCGAAGAAGATCGTGCCTGAGGGCTACCAGCTGTAGGCTATGACCTGGAGGTTCTGTTCCCCTCTCGTACGCGTCGTCGTAGCATCTTCGCGGGAACTCGATGGACCAGGCGGGTTGGTCGGTTGTAGATGTCGGGAGTTGTGAGGATGGACGGTGCAGAAGGGTCTATCATGATCTGAATCAGTAACGCCGCAGGTTTTAGTAGAATACGTGTTGTGGCCTTGACCTTAGATAAGTCTTGTTCCTCCGCGTCGAGGAGTGCTGGCCTGCCGCGATGGAGCAGGCCTGATAAAAGTTGCCACAGACCTGCTGCCCAGGATTGCAGCGTAACAAGAACGCCCTCGACAAGGCGGCCAGCAACGAAAGGTATATAAAACATTAAGGTAAGTCGCTCAGTTGTGCAACTAGTTCTTGCAAGAGGCTCTCGAACTTTGTCGTGGTTTGGGTCGCTGCATTGATTCAGATGAAAGGAGTGAGAACCAAGAAGTTCGGCAGGAAGCTAGAAGATTGAAGGTTGCCTGGTCGATCCGCAGCGCCCCATTAGAGCGGCTTGTATGACTAATCGCTCCCAAACTACAGGAATAAAGCCGGGGAATAGCCGGATCAATACGTGACTATGACGTCTTACCGATGCTTGTGAAAAGGTATCCAGGCTGAACCGCCCCACCGCCGTGCCAATCTGGCTGATTGCGAACCTTCAATGTACTCCGAAATGCCACCATGTGTGTTCGTCTTTGCCATATTGGTCGAGCGTGTACGCTTTATGATCCTGCCGGACTCCGCCGATGAATCCATCCTCGCCCCGAACCAGGTTCTGAATCTGCTTATTAAATGTTGTCGTTGGTGTTTCCCTCTTGGTAATATACATGTCACTGAGCAACAGGACCAGTCAGCGCTTCGATACGAAGAAATTCTAAGGGCACATAGGTGGTCGAGTGTAGGCACCGGCCTCTACAAGCGATCTGCTCTCCGATTGATTCACTTAGGTGGCCACTGAGCTTCCGTACATGGTCCCTCGCTCCCGTCATTCGCAGGTTTAGCAATGCACTGATAGTAGCCACGGCATTGGCGAAACCACGGGGCGCCGGCGAGTGTAAGCGTGAAGGCGCGGAGGCTCAAGCTCTCCCACAGTACTTGATTATATTCGACTAATGGATCAAAGTCGCGTGTATACAAGTAAAATGAAAAGGAGAATCATTTGCATCGCAGAATGAATTGGTCGAGGGCGCAGTTACTCCTCACTGTTGCCTTGCTACTCTGCCGAACACCCCCGTCACGTCACACTTTTGCGAGGCCGTCCCCGACGACGACGGACTTTCGCCTCGTTGTCGATCTTCCTTATCTTCGTTGGGCGAGTCTGCTTTGTACCCCCAGAGGACCCCATATGTGGACTTGCTTTCATCCCGAACTTCGCCTCAAACCTGCCTATTAGTTCAGGGGCATTGATCTCGTCCTCTGGCACAAGAGTTGCCTGCCAACGAACCAAGTAGTGTACCTTTCCCTGTATGACTTCTTTTCCAATCAGCTCAGTGATCTCCCACTCTGCATCGGCGACCACGTCAACAGGTTGGCCCCGTCCCGATCCGGTGGAGGTCCTTCGAATAGACTTGCCAATTTGACCATTGCCATGGTTGTCCATGTCAACCATGAGCTGGTCTTCATCAGCCTTGACCGGGGATTCCCAAACACCGTTCTCATTGCGAACAGGAGCTAGTACAGTGACTTCATAATCTCCTGTTGCCGAAATACCATGTCCGGTATTATTTTCTGCGCGTGCAACGTTGCTTTCGGCTGTGTGAATCAGTAGGTTGTACATGCCTGCGAAGCGTTAGACTTACCAATATTGGTCGACGAAGGCTGGGAATCGAGTTGCCCAGCGCCATGAACAGAAGGGTTAACGAGAGCCACTGACTGATCTCCGTTGCTTAGATGAAGATGTGTCTCCTTCAACTTCGCAAGTGGCGACGCTTTATGACGAGCACCGTTGGTACGAAGACAATCAGCAGTACCCGGAACTGTAAGGGTTGATATTTGTGCATCGCTCGTGCTTGGCTTGTCATTTTGTTTCGGTACATTGGTGTAAGACGAAGGGGCTGACTCCGTAGGTCTGTCGTCGGCCACATGGTTGTCATTCTGTTTCTCTGTGCCAAGTCAGCATATGCATCCAACAAAATTGCTTTGGAACTTATCAATCTTGACAGCTGGGATCTCCCGTGTTGCTCTGATTCACCGGGCTCCCATACTGTTCTGGCGGCGGCACAATATCGGTTCGTGTGAGATCGATCACACCAGTATTGACTGAAACCTGTTTCGATGGTCGAAATTCATCGTCGGAGAAGTCGACACTCTGCCCGCTTAATTCTGGGCCGGGGTGCGACACCAGCTTAGATCTTACCCCGCCAGGTAGCTTGCCTCCGGATGCTCGGCTATGGGATTGTTTGGATAGGGATGGCCTGAAGCTCTTGGTGAAAGGGTCGTAATTCTGGAATGGTCGACTCATTGTGGCAACGAAGGATAAAATGGCAAAAACGACGGTCGACCGTGTGTGTACAAGCAAAATTTGACGAGTGATCTTGCAGGAGATGCCCCTTTGGGATAAGAGGTCAAGACGAGTTTTATAGTTTGAACTTGGGACGTGAGAAGAGCTGACTCCTTCCGCTTGGGGAAATGACCTCTTCCGGAAGTACCGACTGACATTGCCTCATTCCTCACCAAAACCGAGCTCTTTCCAAAACAGCATGTTACCCAATCGATGATGGCGCATCTCATTTCGCTCGAAACGCTCAAGATCAGCAAGGATGCCAAAACTCCAGAGCAAGTTGGATGTTGGGAGCGCCCTGCCGTGAACCCGTGATATCGCAGATCATGGCTTGGGTGGACAAGGCTTACCAAGCAGTCTTCCACTCGAGCCCCCAACGGGAATCTCGGTAGAAACTGCTCGGTCGTCTCGTCAGTCCCTAGCACCAAGGGTGTGCCGTCACAAGTCTCACCGCTGCGACTGTAGAGTCAGACGGCTGGGTCCCATCCCTAGCTTGCTGACGTGGCTCGTGACTCTGGGCCGCGGATTCATCGGAATACCTGCGACTGGCCCCTGCGAGAATGTCTCACGTTCCTGGTTGAGGTATTTCCATGGGACTCCAGGCATGGCCCTGACTGGCGCCGCGTGATGATCATCGAGCCGTCACAGCGGCTGCAACACACCTTGAGTCTCATGAGTCTCCGTCCGGCCATTGGTGAAGCGGTGTGCCGCCTTGGTTCATGATTGAGGCCTCCAGCATTGCAGTTCTGGCAGGGGCAAGTGATCAGCCCCTTGCCTGCTCGTTCTCTCGCCAAGCATTGGCACTGCTTCTGTCTGAGGAGACAGTCCCACCGGCAACCAGCAGGCCTGCGCCCTAAAAGGTCTCACCTGAACTCGTATCGAGGCAGGCCGAGACCGGCTCGGCTTAAGATCTTCGCCGGTTTGGACGTGACGGGGATTCAGCGGAGCTGAGGGCAATATCAATAAAGACGAGTCAGCCTAGCGGGCTGATGGTGTGGTGGTCAGATCGCCATGTCCAGATGTGCGTCGGCACGGTCATGCCCGGCGGTGGTTCGGCTGTATTTGCAATCTAGGACGCCACTCTCCCGAGGGGTGTAGCGATATCCGAAGGTCCAGAAAGGGGAGCTGAGTATGATCAAGGGCATCCATTGAATGAGCGGGGATGAGATGAGGCCTCCAATGTTCCATGGCTGTGTCTGGAGCGTGAGGCTTCATCGCCGGACATGCCGAATGCCATGGCACACGCGCCTTCTCCCAAAAGACATCCTGGCATGATTTTCGTGCCTGAAAGGTGACATCGTCTCTGAAAAAGGCTTATTCTCGTGCTGAGCAGCAGATTAGGCCCGGTTCGAGTCTCGCCTCATGAGCGTGAGAGACGACCTTGCCATGGTGGTGTTGTGGCCGAGGACAGGACCGAGGACAGGGCCAGGATCCTGAGCGATGCGGTGAGTCCGAGTGATCGTCTACCTGCAGAGGGAGAGCGTTGGAGGGGATCTGCGAGTCGTCAGCCAGAGGTAATGAACAGGGCCAAGTATCCTCAAGCCATGACAGTTGAGGTTCCTAACAAGGTCTCCAAGATATCACACGAACCTGGCAAAGGCATCTGACAGAAAGGACCATAACGGCGATAATGGCAGAGACGGCAACGAAACGGTGATGAGACGGCCAAGAAAAGGGCCTTGTTCTGGGTCGTGGCAGAAAAGATCAAGAAAGCCCAGATTTAGGACTTTCATGAGGGCGTGACGTTGATTTTATACGCGGCAGAAAAAGATACGTACCTTGGAGGGGGCGGCAGAAAAGAGCGAATCACGTGGTGGGAGCAAGCGTCAGGTGGGGGACTGAAGCGACCCACCCACAACAGTCATTTCCAGAGGGGGAAACCGGCGAGGGGGGCGGGCATCCCACGCGGAACAAAATTGCTATAATAATATAATATATAGTTCTTAATTATTTTCTATACTATATTATAGGGTTTTTATTTCTTCCCTATATATAAAAATACTATAAGATTTTATTTTTTTCCTCTATTCTTATATAAGCTATTATATCTATATCCTATATATATACTACTTTATAGGGGGTTATAGGAATTAGAGTCTTATAACTCCTCTAATAGCTAAAATAAATACTAAACTATATTAATATTTATATTATTATAAAGAAAAAGTAGAGTTATGGAATAGTATACTTTTTATAATATTCTATAGAGCCGTTCTATAGTAATAAGCCCTTAACTTCTTTTATATTCTATTAGCTAAGCTTAAAAGCTTAGATAAAACTAACTCTATTTCCCTATAAGTCTAGAGGTAGTCTAAGCGCCTTATCTATATATAGCTACTAAGGTTAATCTATTATATATAGAGAGTACCCCTTAGACCTCTTTTTTAGGTTTTCTAGACTTAATATATATCTATTCCTAACTATACTTATAAGCTCCCTTTATATAGTAATTTCTATCTAAACTACTTACTCTTAACTATTATAAATAGATACCTTCTAAGATATGCTTTACCTCTATTAGGATTAATCTAAGCCCTCTTCTTAATTATAGTCTCTTTACCTATCTACCTTCGATCTAAATGAAACCTATCCCTATTCTATAGCTCTTAATAAAGGCTATTAGAATCTTCGATCTATTTCTCGATCTAATATCTCCTTCCTAAGATATAACCCCTTTTATTTCCCTTCCTTATTCTTATACTTTTATCCTTTTATCTATTATTATCTCTTTATCCTATAACTAAGAATTACCTTCGATCGTTGCCTAAAACCTCCCTTAATAAATATATCTAAGTAATAAACGACTAAAGTACTTAAGGTTTATTATTAAACGATTAAAGGGGAAGAGCCTTTATACTCGTTCCTCCTTATAATTCTTATCCTAAGGTTTAGAGCAATTTATTCTCTAAGCGGAGCTCTTAGATTATAGCCACTAGATTATTAGCGCTATTTCCGATGTTATTAGTAGATATTATTCTTATAATAAGTATTATTTAATATTATAAGGTAAACCTATTAATAAGAGTAATTAGGATATTACGACCTAGTAGATTCTAGACGCGGATCCTATTAAAGGATTAGGATTACTATTTATAGAAGATAAGGTTATTATTCTAAGGTAATATAATATTATAAAGCGTTATATACTTATTATAATAAATATAAAGTAAGACTTAGATTAATTTTTATTATAAAAAAGAATATATCTATAAATCTAAAATATTTATTCTAATATACTTCTTAACCTATCCTTATTATAATAAGTAATAGTTATTATATTAAGTAGCTTATTATAAGGTCGTAATCCTATTATATTAAATTATAGATTAGTATAACTCTTATATATTAGTAATCTATAGTCTAGGATTACTATACTTATTAATATAATTATATAATTGCGCGTTTATATATTCTTATCTTATCTTTAGTTATATTATATTATTAGGCTATAAGTCCTTTAGTGCCTATCCTAGTCCTATTTATTATAGTATAATAGCTAGCTATTCTATTCTCTATATTATATTATATTACTTTAATATACTTAGTCTATTAGCTTATAAGATATAAATAAATTATTAGGGTAATTAATAGGGAAACTAATAAGAAAGAAGCCCCTTATTCGCCCCCCTAGTTAGTACTTATTAAGTTCTCGAAACTTACTATATACTACTATACTATTAAGTTTAGTATATTTTAACTATAGGATAAGTACTAACTAGGGAGCTAACGAGAGAGCCTATTACTTAAGAATTTCCCTATTAATTGCCCTAGTATATTATTTATACCCTATTAGCTCGTAAACTAGCCTTATTTCAGTAGTATAATTTTATATAAGGAAAAGAATATTACTCTTAATACTATCTAAGTATCCTACTATAGATAGGGGTAATCACTACCTTAGAGGGTATTGAAACTTATGCCCCTAACTTTATATACTTTCTTAGCGTGCCTTATAAGTATAGTTTAAAGCTACCTAATAGGCTATCGAACCCTTTCCCTATACGTAGTAGGATAGGTAAGTTTTCATACCTATAATAGGTACCGAGCCCCCTATAAGCATGGCCCGTACCCATAGGAGTTCAAAGGGGCCGTACTGCCTATTTCATTATCTAAGCAAGCTAGCACATCGTCGAGAGATAGGTGGAAGTACCTACTAGCTGCCCAGGGCCGGACGGGCCTAAAAGATACTTAATAGGGGTAGTAAAACTTTAGCCTAGAACTACGTAGGCCTAAAGGATACTTAACAGGGGGGGTAAAACTTTAGCTTAGAACTATATAACTATATAGAAATAAACTTTAGTAAGGTTTTATATAGATTAGATTTTATAAATACTTAGAAGCTATAATAGTAACTTATCTTCGCACTACCCTTTATAGCCTCGCTCTCTTCTTTAATACTTTACTCTGCTCTCGTAAAGATAGCTAGACTAATATAATTACTAAATTGTTTGTTCCATATCTTAGACTTTACTAGCGACTCTTATATTAACTGCCTCGAGTAGCGCTAATTATAAGTTACTCGGAGAAATGAAGCTTTCTACGCTTGGAGCCCTCATTTCATTGACTCCACTAGTCACTGCCGACGTAGGGACCGCATCCTAGTATCCTCCACCCTACACTCCTAATTATTGCTACATCGATGCGAGCAGATTCCCCGATAATAGTTATATTGTTTCTTTTTCAGAAGAACTCATGCAAGGCGGTGCTGTCTATGGTGAGAGTTACTTAGTTAGATGCATTAGTCTTAATGAGAGGAAATCGGGCTGTAGGCATACTGAACCGATTGAAGTGATGGTAGTTGATCAAGGCAAGGAAGGTACTACTCATCAAGGACATGAACCGAAAATGGTTCTTTCTAAGGAGGCTTATATTGCTCTTGTTAAACAGTATATTAAGCATTCGTTCATTCAAGTTGAGTATAGAAAAAAATAAGATATACTTAACTTATAGTATAAACTCTT